TACATTTTAATTGAGAGTGTCCATCACTTAATAAAGCTTTGGCCATTATATGAAAAAAAGCTTGTGTTTCAGCTTTGTTATGCTTGGGTTGTTCTTCCTTGTGCTTACTTGTCTGCATAAAGCAGTATGGTTAAACTTGATGATCTTAAAATTCTTTACCTAACCAAAATGATTCTGTGATTGCTAAATTGTCCACCTACCCTCAGTAAAAACAAGGTTTTCCTCTAGACTTCCATTATTTCTATCCTCATTCAGAAATATTACTAGTGATCAAATTAGCAGATGAATTCCGGCAGTTTGAACAAGTAGCCAGGGAATCCCAATTTTTGGCAACATCATAGCATCCACAGCCTTGAGCAAGTAATCAGCCTTCCCTTTGTAGCAGTTGGAATATGCAGTGTTGTGTTTGTTGAAAGCCTTTCAACTCTACTGGTTCTTGTCAGGAAAAAACAAAAACAATCTACTCTTCTTACTTCTAAGTGCAGGGATATTTTGCTTTTAAGCAATTTATTATTTTAAAAAATGGGGGGGTTAATAGAAAATGTTTTTTTTTTAAATTAACCAGTTTTACTGTTATGGGAAACAATTTTGTTTACTGCAGGGTTTTATACTTTATTTTTGTCATCACTACAAGTCCAAAAAACATCAGCAACAACAACAACAACAACAACAAAAGTCCAAGTTTTTCACAGGGGGGCACAATCCCTTACCTGCATTGCTGGATAAAAATGTGTTCTATTCTTCAAGTGTGTTTCAAGTGTAAAGATTGATTCGTGTCCTTGAAAGTGCAATGAAAAAACTCCTTTAACAGCCTAATGACTGATGATGGATTCAGTGAGCTTTGCTTATGACCTAGCTCTGTCAGTTTTGGTATTCTGACATTTTTTCCTCAGGTTCAAATGGAGTCATCAAATTCAGAAGAAGATGAGCTGCAGATAAAAAGAGCTATTTTGTAAAGACTTTTCCAGATTTTGTAAATTTTGAGGTTAAAGACAATGGGCTTTTCTTATTGTACCTAGTTTAAGTCTTAAGAAGGAAGTGACTGGGCAGCTGCAAGAGCCCTTGCCCTGTAAAGGAGTGAGGAACAAATCGCCCACAACAGCCACATGTAGAGAACAGAGAAGAAGCAGGAGGCACAGTGAAGTCTGGTCCAAAGATTAACATTAGGATGCTGAGCTGAGGATTATATGTATGTCAGAGACCTTTAACCAATTAATTTGGATAGTATCTTTTGACTTTCAGATGCTTGGTGATGAAACAGACTTTGGTGGATTCCTCCCTATTCCCAGACTGTTTAGGTCAAAAATTATGATAGTGTAAGCTAGCCGAAATTCATGGCTTATCTCAGCAATATTGGCACATGGAACTGGGAAACATTCCAGAGCTAATTTTCTTTATGTTGAGAAAAGCTGATAATTGTTCTGTGTGCTCACCTGAATGCAGTCACGGTTGTAGTTTTCTCCTTATTCTTTGACACTGTGTCAATCTTATTTTTTCTCATAATTTTACACTGCATTTTGGAAGGATAAAAGTGTCTGCAAACAAACCCCCAAAGCCCAATCATCAGTCATAGTAAGCATTTTGTAAATTCACACATAACTGTGTTATTTTTAAACATATGCAGGCTCTTTAGAACTGAAACATACAAAACAGAATGATTTTTCTCACAAGGGTTTGAGCATAGTTAGGGAATTGCTCAGTTTAAAATGGGTAAGCATCTGATGAACAAGACTAAGAGGTGCTTTGAGTTGCATAATTATTTTCATCCTAATATAGTCCTTCTACATGTTTGAAAAACCCAAGAAAAATTAGAATCAATGAAGTCTAGCAATGCCAAGTTACGTTCACTAGTTAATAGGAAAATAACTATACTAGGAAAAACTGCAATTCTAGGAGTCAGGTCATCAATGTAACCTTTCAAGGCATGACGCCTTTTTTGATCTACACATTCCTTAGCAATTCCTAGTTTCAGCTTCTCCCTCCCTCTGCAAGAAACTCAGTACTGGTCACTTTTCGGTATAGAAACTCTTTTGAAGGTTTTGGAAACTCAACTGAAAATTTTATTGCGAGCAGTTTTTTGCATATATGCCATCTCTCAAGTAAAATGCTACAATTTTTTCTGAGTGTTCACATATTTCATAATTATGTGCTGCTATTTCTCAGTTATTTTATTTTGGTCCTGGTAATGTGAACTGTTGGCATTTCATGTATGTGAGATGTTACTGAGGTGTATTTTATGTACAAAGGTCTGTTCAGCTACTCATTTATCAAAAGCAAGCATTAGTGTTCATGTTGTGTGCCCAAAGCTAAGTTTGCTAGTGGAGCTCACACATTTACATTTTTGCTGACCGTATTTATTCTGTCAAGTTAGAGCCAGCATGCAATTGACCTTTATAAGCTGAGTCATAAACTTTTATTCTGTTCCCATTGTGGCTTACCACAAGATAGACCCCTCCAGGGCAGCAAGCATTCCCCTTCACACCCCTCCCTGGGGTGTCTGTCACCTCCAGGCAGAGGCAGGGGAAGTCCCAAGGACATTGTCAGGGGTGTGCATCAGTAGGGAAAGGATGCTGTCTTCACCCTGTATCAAAGGGAAGGTTAGTGTGCCATCAGTGGGCTCAGCCCTTCTCTCAGAGGGACTTCTGATTTTGATTTCTACTTGATACCATGTCTTCTAGGCAAACCCCTTGGAGCAAGACCAGGTTAAGGAAATAGAAGAACAGAGCAGAAAATGACATTTATCGTTTCCTGCTCACCTCCCTGCTGGGTGTTTATACGCTTCTTAGCAGAAAGAGCACTACAGTGTGCTCCGCAAGATCGAAGATCTTAAGGTCAGATTGCAAAAGGCAGCTCAGCAACACTTCTCAGCAGCCAGGCTTGAAACACTTGCTAAGAACCATGACAGCATCAGGCCAGGATGTTAGTGAATGTTCCAGTTCTGGAGTTTCATAATGGTCCATGGTGAAATGAAGTCTGACCCCAAGACCAGGAAAAATCTTTTCTGTCGCTTCAATTTTACTACTCCCTTCTTTTGCAGATGAAAAAGACCCTTTTTGTGGATGAAAGAGCAGCTCAAATTCTAAGCTTGTGCTTCTGCTGAAGTCACAGTAAATGACAGCTGCAGTGATGAATTTCTGTATGAAGATTGTATGAACATCCCCCCATTCCTCAAAGAGCTGGCTAACACTGTCATGCATTTCACACAGCCTTCTTTCAGATATCAGGTCCTTTTGGTCATAACTGGCTTGGACTGACACTGAAATGTTAAGTAGTCCTCAAGATTACAAATCCATCATCAGCTGTATCTGAGCAGCTATGTCACTGCTTCCCAGTTCAATTACTATGTGCAAAAAGGTGTCCTGACCTTTAGCTTTTTAGTAACATCACTTTGCTTGTAGGAAGGGTTCAAGGACCAAAAATCTGCCAGGTGTGGAAGGAGATTGATTCAGGGACCTCCTGAGGAAGCTCAGTCCACAAAAACCCTTTAGACCTGATGGGTTGCACCCAAGGGTGTTGTCATTCTGAAGCTGCTTACTATCATCACTGAAAGGTCATGGAGACTGGGGACGTCTTCTGTGCCTGCAGAAAAGCAGATGATGCACCCAACTTCAGAAAAAGGGCATGCAGGACAATCTAGAGAAATACTGAACAATCATGGAACAAGCCATCTTGGCAGAATTCCCAGGCACATGAAGGAGAATGGGGTGATTTGTAACAGCCAGCATGAATTTACAAGGGTAAATCACACCAGACCAACTTAATTGTCTCTTGTCATGAGGTGACTTCATCTGTCAAAGAGGGGAAAGCAGACAATGTTGTCTACCTTGTTGTCTACAAGGCTTTCCATGTAGTCTCCCACAGAATCCTTGTATCCAATTTCAAATGGAGAGTTAGAAAAAACCTGACTGAATCATTGGTCAAAAGGGCTTATGCTCTGTCTCCACTGGTTACAGTGGAGTTTCTTCGGCATCTGGCTGGTCTGATACTTTTATGAATAACTTGGAGGAAGAGATGGGATGCAGTACAGTCAGGTCTGTGAACTGATGATACTTAATGTAAGGTGTACTTGACATGCTAGTGATCAGGCCTGCCATTCAGGAGGATCTGTACTTGCCAGAGGACTAGGTCAACAGGAACATCATGAAGTTCAGTCAGGACAAACAGAGCACTCTTTATCTCAGGTGGAATAACCCCCATGGCTTAGTTAGCTGCTTTGCTGAAAAGGACGTGGGAGGCTTGGGGCAGGCTTCTCAGGAGTCAGCGGTAAACTCTGGCAGAAGTGAAAGTGCATCAGACTGTATCAACAGGAGCACAGATGGCAGATCAAGAAGACTGATTATTCCGTTTTACTCAGCACTCATTAGACCACAGCTGGCGTAGTGGGCCCAGTCTAGAGGCTCCCAGTACATGACAGCTGCTGGCAGACTTGAACGACTCCGCTGAAGGGTCAGCAGGAAGGCTAGAGGCTGAAGCACGAGAATTGTGAGGAAAAGGTGAGGCATTGGGGTTTGTTCAGCCTATGGAAGAGAACAGCAATTTTCCAGTTCCTAAGAGAAGATTACCAAGAAGATAGGGCTGGGCTTTCTGCCAAACAATGAGACTAGGGCTGTAATGAGCAGGGGAGGTGCTGGTTAGATAGAAGGGAGAAAAAAAATGACACAACAGGAATAATTAGGTAGTGGAATAGATTACCCAGTGTTGTGCAGTCTCCACGTGGGGATTTTTTAAGACCTGACTGGACAAAGACATAAGGGACCTTCAGACCTTCCAAAGTCCCTTCCATTCTGAATTACTTTATGACAAACCTCAGAACGGATCCTCTCCATCTCCTCAACAGAATCTCCTCCATATAATAGAGTTCCCATCAATCTGTGTATTTGAAGTCAGTGTACATGCTGCTATTCACCCCACAGACCAGGAAAACTGTGTAAAAGATTGCCCCTCTAGTTTTAACTAAACAAGATATAAGACAATTTGGGAAAGAACAACACTAGACAGGATGAGACAACATTTTTTTATTGTTTTAATACGAGTGAATAGATTAAGAGATCTGAAATGTTGTAAAGCAATATACATACTGAATAAATAATATGCACAGGAGAGTCATGTCTACATTGTAACACTGGCTAGTATTCAGAATACTTCAAATAAATCCAGTGACATTGGATAAAGTCCATAAAAATGCTATCCTGTCTTCCCTTGTATGAAATTGTTCAAGTATAAAAAAAATCCAATACAGTGTAAAATATTAAATTCCATTTACGTCAAGAATAAAAATTGCAAGTATTGTAGTTTCACAGGACAATGTAAAGCAGCATTTTCTAGCAAAGGGAAAAATAGTCAGTCTACATACAGATGAGTGAGAAAACGGCACTAATGTATTTGACAGGTCTACATGAATAACTAGTAGAGGGAAAAAGAATGAACTAGCAATATTTTATGTAAAAACCTAAAAAAGTGTTAATTTAAGAGTACCCTCATACAGTGCACATACTGAATTTAAATAAATCCAAGTCAACATCCTTAGTTAATTAGGTTAATATTTAATATGCTACATCTAAGCCTACTAAATAATTTATACCATGAGATGAATACATAATTTTACAGTGTCACATCTAAAGTCGCTTTCTTTAGAGCGCAGCATAGTAAAACTTTCAAAATAAATATTTCTTTTTAAATAGCATAACAATTAAGGCACAGTATAAATCACATACCATTAACCCTTCAGGAACTGCAGTCTTGGTAACAAAAAGTTGTCTTGTGTACTGTATGTTTGCTAATAAATACTTTAAATATAATCCTGAAATAGATATTAAAATTGTACAAATGGTTTCAGAAAAGAAAATTCCCTTAAAACAGTTCTTAAAAGGTTTTAGTTCGTTAGGCTTCTTCCTGCCTTTATTCACAAGTTATGAATAGATGCAATAAATAGAAAGAGAAGGCTGTTGTAGTAAAGGGCTGATCCTATTTTAGAATCAGAATAGCTGACACCAGCAGTTAAAGTTTCCCAAAAGTGAAACGGGATGGGGCGAGGGATTAGGATGTGACAAGCTCATCACATGAGCACGAGTGATGTGTTCTGTCCAGAACTGTCTGTGTTATTGATTGTCTCTACAGCTGTTGCACCCCTTACTTCCACATCACTTGCTCCATAGTTCCACTCATCCAGAGGACAGAGAAGAAAATAACTTTGGTGCCTGTCCGCCATCTTACTAGCCGGCCATCTTCCTTGGGTTGTTCGGTGCCCGTCAGTGAGACAGTGACAAGGTCCTGTCTCACGAAGACAACTTCTGAAAGCTAGAAAGGACAATCAGTGCTTTAAGCTCGTTTCCTCTTAAATGGATAAAGGTTACATATTGCTGACTCAAGTTTTTTCCCTGGTTCAAACTTTTCAGATACCATTTTCTTACTTATAAAAGGCAGTTTTGCTTCCCTGATACTGTAGAAAGTACATATTTGCTTTTTTTTTTTGGTTCTTTTTTGTTTGTTTGAAAATATGAAGTCCCATTGCTACTCCTGCCACTCTTCCATGACAGTACAGTATTTTTCCCCCCATTTTCTTCTGGCTTGATACTTGAAACTAGACATGCCGCACTACCCTTCCCCTCTAGCAACAAGATTTGGATGCATACTGTATGAAGACAGTGGAATAAAAATCTTTAGTTTCACAATAGCATCGCTTTCCTTAAAGCTCCTTAGTTACTACAAATCGTCTCTGTTAACTACTTATGCTGGAAGGCCGAGAAGAGGAAGAGAGAGCTCGCGAGCTTCCTTCGGCAGTCCATCTGCTATTGCATGCGGTCTGTCTGCAGCTGTTGGGGCTGGTACTGGCCGAAAGCCGCCGCGGCCGCCGCGGCCGTGCCGGGCGCTGCTGCGGTGAGGGGCTGCTGCACGGCGTAGCCGTAGCCCCCCGCTGCCACGTAGCCAGCGGCGGCGGCGGGCGAGGCGGCGTACGGGTACTGCTCATAGGCGGCCGCCGCCGCCGCCGAGTACTGCGCGTACGCCGCTCCGGTGTAGTCGATGTAGGGCGTGGTGGAAGCAGCGGCTGCCGCGGGCTGCACGTGGGGAATTACCACTCCGGGCTGCACAAAAGCCTGTGGATAGACATAGTGAGCGGGTATCCTGTTGAAAGATGGGAGAGGGAGTTAGAGTCGGTACGCGAGTCAGTGCCTAAGTGTCATATCCATACTCCGAACTAAAACAAACTCAATTTAGTTGTTGTTATGTGCATAGGGTTGCCACAATAACTTGACTCAATGGACCAATTATCAGTTCACTGGTGCGAAGAGACGCATCGCTCCAAAGCACAGCGTTGTAGCTGAGTTAAGTCAGGGTGTTCCGTGTTCCTTGAGGATAATATCTTTAATGCCATTCAGATCTTCAGAAGGACCAGCATTACTGACGTCTCTTTTAAGACAACTCTGAAGGACTAAGCTTGATTACTCCATCTGAAAAATTGCAGTACTTGTTTTTCAAATCACCTGTAAGGCATTTTTATTGCCCCTCTTCTCTCTTAACTATTCGACTCTTAGTAAAATGACTTCCTGCAATACTTTTATTATTAGTAACTGAGCAGTTTGACAGCATCACTATAATGAGTTCGACAACAGCCAATAAGGCAACAAAATGATTGAACTCTGACTTTATGTCAAGTCTTCCCAGGGAAGCGTGTTAAAGAGCGTATTGTGGCAACCCTACTTAAGTTGCTATGCAGACTCAGCACACATTAATTTCTCTGCAACCTCAGTCACCCTTATTAAAAATAAGAAAAAAACCAACACAGGCGACAAAGGAGTTTAAATAGAGTTCACAAGTGTGGTAAACACAGCAAGAATCACACTTTCCAAACGAACGATAGTGCAGCTCACTCCGTCACAAGAGGCCATTGAGGGGAAGCTACATAGATGCTATTAAAATCCATAACAGTGACTCCTAAGTACATGTGCATCACACTTTTATAAAAGTTCGTAAGGACACAAGAGTCAAACCTGTTTGATTATCAGGTCACTGATGTCCTGTTTTGTGCCAGCTTGTCTATTTCTATGCAAGACATACAGCACAGAGTTTTTTGGGAGGTGGGCATAAGATTAAGTCTAAATAGATCTGGTGCTTAACAAGAGCAAAAAAACCACGAATTTACAGTTTAAGAAAGAACCATTCTGAATAGATGATTAAACACTTTCCCATCTTGTCCAAGTCACATAATTTGCTTTCTTGGCTTATTTACTTAGCCCTTTAGTTTTAAAAAACTGGTCATATCCTTGCCTTAGCACACAAGTGTACATACATGTTAATCTCATTGTTGGATTTTATAATATAATATGATTTTAAAAACATACTCTGTATAATTCTCATTTTACATTCATAACCCTGTCTTCCATCTGGATTTCCAAAGAGAAGTCCTTCATATATGCAACTCCTTCCCAGCCAGTGAATCTCTATAAATGCATGAAAAACTTCTTGTACAGATTCACTGCTGTTTCATACTGAACTTTCTTTACCTTTACAGACACCTCTAAAGACTGCACGAACCTTTGAACACACTTTAGGCACAGATGAAAACTGCAGTAGTAAAAAGTTTCCTCTATTCTTCAAATTCAAGATTTCATGGAAAGGGTTTGTTGGGGGATTTTTTTTTTCATTTTTTAAATAGTTTAAAGGTGTACCTAAGTGGTCAACAAGGAAACATTTGCAATCAGAGGGGACACTGTAAACTGGAATCATAGCAAAACGTAGTTTAAAGTAAGTGATAGACTTTAAAACAGCTTAGTTTTCTTTTTCAGAAAAAAAGAGCTCAGTTGCTTGAATAGGAGTATTAGCAGAGAGAAATGTTCAGTTGCCATGTTTAAGACATGAACACCACAATCATAAAAACCCAACATGTAAAATGAATTTCATTTCCTACTGTGGGAAGGGGAAAAAAAAAGAGTGACAAATAGGGAGGGATTGGGAAGGGAAAGAAAACATAAAACGAAACCATAAGTTGGGTTTTTAACACTCACCTAATTTATGAAGTGATTAGCCAGAAGTGCATTTGAAGCATACTTAAGCTGGCTCTGTGCATTTAAATACACATCATTACCTGAGCTCTCCATATGGATGAGCATAAGCAAGCATTTTGTATTGGTCACCAATCAAGTACAATTCTAATAAACATTACACCATATTTCTTAAGCATTTAGGGAAAGAAGTATAAAAACAAATCTGAAGTCACAGAGAGCCATCTTTTGCATCACAAAGAGTCCATTTAACACCACATCAAAGGAATCTTTACATTCAGCACTTATGGAAGAGAGTAATTCTAACAGAAGAGACAGTAAGATCAGGCTGCTTGTGTTGCCTGAACTGATGTTACTAAGATTTTCTGAAGACACTGAACAAGACAGAAAGATACATGTGCTTCCACTTAAGCTCTTGTGACTTGGTTTATTTAAGCCAAGAAACTAACAGGTGGTGAAGTTATGAAACATTATCTGTTTGCCACATCTTACCCTACAATAAACATAAACCCTGTGCAGGCTCCTCTCCACTGTGCCATTTAACACACGATGATTGACAGCATAAGCTGCAGTGGGGCTATTTTTGATCATCTGTCATGCTACAACTGTTTTCAGTCAAGTAAAATGGCTTTATATGGCCAAAGTAAATTTCTACCTACTGCACAGGCCAGGACACGAAGATCTCAGCCATTCAGAACCCAAATGCTTTTCATGCTCTGCCAGGTCAAGAGCTGAAAAAGCAATTCCCAGTTACCCCAGAAATCCTCACTATCCTTAATTTTAAATAAAAGCTTTTCAGAGTGATAGTGTGAGAAATTGACAGGATTTAAGCTCTCTTTCCTGGCAGCAGTTTTTATTTTGGAACGTGTATTTACTGTTTTATGCTCTTGCAATAAAGGAAAATAGAAGCCGTATTTAACTTTAGCAATAACTGTAGCTTTGAGATACTCAAAATTCAATGACCTACATCCCTGCCACATGCCTTAAGACTTTGTTGTTATAACAAAAGATTTATGTTTAACTAAAGACCTCAAAAATAATCCTATAGGCAACAATAAAGTGAATGATAATTTCAAAGGAAAGACGACTTTTGAGACTAATGCGGAGAGCTGTGGCATATAGAAATTCAGCAGGCGTAGTGCATCTTTAACTCTCAGCATTACGTTCTCAAAAAACTAGATATTTAACTTTAAACAAAATGTTTTGTTTTGGCCCTTTGGCATGGCATTGTTTGCTTTTGTAAGCATAATTAAAGGGTAGATTTTCACCAATGAACAGCTCTCCTTTTAACAGAAATAGGTTGCATAAACATTAAACATACAAGACCCTTACTATGTTTCCTTTTATCTGATAACCACTAAGAGGACGTAACAGCAGGCTAACTTCTGACTGTTCCAGCTTCATTCCCTCTTTTCAGACTATCTGTAGTCTAGTATTATACAAGTCTTTTGATCAAAAACTCAAGAGGGGGCTTTTCCTTCTCTCTTAAGAAAGGCAGATTTGCCTAAATCTTGGAAGATATCAAGCATGTTGTATCAGCTAACCATTTGATAATGGGCTTAATAACTTTGGATTTAACTCTGGTCTTACTGAAAACAGTGGGTATATTTTCATTTTGATATAAGTACAGGTTTTAGACAGAAAATAAAAAAGTCTCCACACCAGTTATGTCCTTCAGCAATACCCCTGAATAACCCTGATTTTTCCCACCAATATTAAAGTAAAAATTACGTTAGCAAAATAAGAAAAGCTATATTGGGAAGCAAAGTCATCTTCCCCCTCCATAAATTCCTGCTGAATTCAGAGATAGTATTTTAATAAACAATCCTGAAAGGAAAGCTGTGTAAATAACCAATCCTGTGATCAACCAGCTTTCTATGAAACATACCAACAGTAAGATAGATGCTGAATGTAAAAAGCAGGAAGAAATGTTATTCTGCAGCACTGAATAAAAAAAATTCCCTGCATTTTAAGTACATCATGCGTTGAAGCTAATCTAGTTTCTGTCTCCCCCCACCACATCAGTGTTGTACTTATTAAGTCTGAATATTGAAATTCTGCATCTTCTCAGTAAAAGTAATGTCACATAATCAGATTATTTTAAATTTATTATTTGATAGATGTGAAACCTTATGTTGTGGATGCTCCATCTCTGAAAGTGTTCAAGGCCAGGCTGGATGGAGCTCTGAGCAACATGGTCTAGGGAAAGGTGTCCTTGTCCATGGCAGGGGTTGGAACAACATGATCCGGAAGGTCCCTTTCAACCCAGGCCATTCTATGATTCTATGATTCTAAAACACAGCTGACCATACCAAAATATGGGAGCACCTCACTAACTTGCACTGTTAGGGAAAAAACCCAAAACTGAACCACAAAACATTGGAAGCTTTTGTGTATGGATTAGCTGAGTATTGGCACTGAATCACCACAACAGCCAGCTTCACACAGCGTATTAGGGAAGTGTACTTCCAAAGTGCAACTGCACAGGAAGAAAAAAGGCTTCAGGGTGACCATGTATTTCAGCGCAAACCACACAGCAAAAGTGAACTCTTCAACAGAAAGAGATTCAAATAAGCGCTGAAACATCCCCTCTTACTGTCAATGAAGTCAATGGACATGTTCATTCATCCTAATGAATGCTGTTCTCCTTAATCTGAACCACATACTTTAGATAAAGGTACAGGTCACTGGAAATTCTGAGGAGGAAGAAGGATTGGTAATCTCTGTTGTTTACGCACAGTAAAAGAAATGCAACAGCCAAGGATAGATGAAAAATTACCAATTTCATACATACATGACTCTGCAACCAACATTCTTTCAGATTTATGTGCAATGCATTAGAAATCCAACCTTATGCAGCTTGCTGGAAGGATTTCCCTGACTTAAACATGGTTTATGTCATCTATTGTTGGCTTTGGGTAAGGAAAGCAAGAAAGACTCCTATATTTGCAGAGTCCTTTAAGCAAGAGACTGCCACAGATCCTTCTCTTCTGTTGTGCTCAGCAAATACTCAGTCTCTCCACAGCTGATCCCTGCACAATTCAGTAGTTCCCTTTTCAACAAGTGTTTTAACAGCTCTGGAGAGGAGGTGTTCTGCCTCCTGTCTACCTTAGTGCAGGCATCATAAACTGATCACTGCATACACACTGTCATCTCACAGTTCAAAGAAGCAAGCAAAATACAGTAGAGGATAATCATAACAAGGTAAGAAAAAAAAGCAAAAAGTTTTTACAGCCTCCCCACTCTTGGAAGAATCAAGATGCTCTTTTAAAATTACATGAAGTTTCTAGGAAAAACTTTTTCCTGTGGTTTTCAGGATAGGAACTGTTTCCTTCCATTCTGACAAATCAAATTACTGAGAAGCTGTTGTTGCTTAATAACAGATAAGTATGATAATCTAAAGCCATTCTAACCAAATAAACAAAATACATTTGTGACTCATTTTCCCTACTTTCTTGTTAGCTTATGCATTAATTAGCAAAATGCACTATTTCGCAATGAGTTTCTCAGTCACTGTGCATTAGTGAAGAGACGCTATGGAAAGCTTAAAGCAGACTTCACCTCCTAATGATATGCCTATAAAAAGCCAGAGTTAGTTCCACTTAGGAATAGTTTATACTCAAATTCAGGAGAAATGCACTACATATTAAAGACAGTTTGAAGAAAAAATTCCCTCAAATTAGAAAGCCCAAATGGACGCACATCGTTAATAAGGAGCTTCACACCCTTCCCAAGAACAAACCTCCCAAAAATTATGAACATGCAAGCAATATGTTGATTTACTTAAAAATCAAGAAGTCACACAATTTAGCACTCACTACAAAATATGGTTAAAAAAGTCACAGGCTACAGCTTGAAAGCAAGGAAAAAAAAGGCCCTTTGCTCCCCATGGCAAAGTCACTCCTCAACAACAAAACCAAAATTAAAAAAGATCCCCCCCAAAAAACTTTCACTACAGCTCTTTCAATTAAATAAAAGCACACAGTTTAGCTATCAACACCACTTCATTACTGTAATAAATAAAAAAAAAGCACACGGAGGTCTATTGACTATATGAAAAAACATACATGCATCGTTAATCACCATTTTAGCTTGTTTGTGTTTGAGTCTACTGGTTACAGAGTTTAATTCCAAACAGAACTATTCCACCTCTTATCATCATATCCTTCTGATCAGTTATCTTAACTGTAAACGATCCCTGTCAGATTAGAAAGAGATAAATAACATTGAGTCAAGCTGAAAAAAGAGAAATGGGGCACAGCAATCTTGCATCAAGTCATACCTCCTTGTTTTATCATAGGGTCATGTGGGACTGGACTGCTTAGTCGGAAGGGCCACGTCCCACACAACTTGACTCAGCTGCGGCATTTAGAACATGACCAACAAGGTGAGCGCATTTATGAGTATACATTTATAAATCTGAGAGCTTCAGCAGTGCTGGCCAGCTTTAAGGATGCTACTGCAAGAGGCCTTCAACAATCATACTTTTTCTTTCTTTTTTTTTAAAAAAAGATTTTTTTCCTCCCCTGTTTGAGGTCCCACTGAGACTTACCCGAAAGGCCTCTGTATGAGAGCTGGATGAAGCTGCTGGACACCAAAGGCAAAACCTACCAACAAAAACACATCACATTCCCTGTATAGGTGTTTTGTGGCCACTTATTTATGCTATATGTATATATATATATATACACACATGCACACACACACAAAAACCCACAGAGTAAGAGCCTTTACTAATAGCCTGCAGTAACAACAGGTGAAAGGCTGTAGAACCAAAAATTAGAAAGCAAAATATATCAATCCATACACACACACACAGGACTTAAACCAGTAAAGCATATGCTTTCCTAGAGATGTTTAGGAAAATGACTTTTTCTAAACAAGTACAGGGGTTTCGTTCACATTTTACCTGGTGCTCCATTTGGATCCCTAACTTTAACATCTGAATGACTGTATGGTACTTTCCATTCCTCAGCGTATTTGTCTAATTTCTACAGACTTAAAATTTAAGTCACCCCTACTCATCAGGACTTAGCACAGGGCGTCAAATCCCAACTTCATTTCTGTTCTCCAGACACCCTAGCATAAACCTTGTATTTCCTTGGCGGGCACTTAATTACTTGCACAAGTGTTCATCAAGCTAAACACCGGGGAATTCAGAATGACCTCCTTTAGAGCACAAATGTGCACACACTCCACGCTCCTCTCACTCTTGCTGCAAAGCAGCATTCTGGGAAGTGGCTAGGACATCAGATTGTCTCAGATGTGGTCTTAGGAAAAGCCACTTCATTTTAAAATCTGCATAATAGCTCCCATCTGCTTGAGAAGTTTGTATTAAGATATTGTTTGTGTTAATAAGACCGCACACATTGGAAGCGATTCACTCCTAGGCCAATCTTACCCTGCAACGATACTGTAAATGGTCAGCGCCACCACATTCCCAGCAGCAGGAATAACCAATGAAGTGTTTGAGCTGTGCAAGTCTTCCTGGGGAACTGCAGATATTTCATCTCTGATCGCTTTTGTTTTTTAAATAAGGCACATGTGCAAAATAGCCAGAAAATTACTACATGCTTCATTTAAAAATCAAAACCAAAGCACGCCCAACTGTATGCGTACTTCAGGAAGGTGGAGGGCAGCACCACCTTTTTTGAAGTTTTACTCTCTTCAGAAACCTGAGGTACGGAGACAAAAGCCATTCAGGGCTGCTTCCTCACCTGGCTGCATTATCCGCGGCTTGGCACCCAGGTACGCCAGGTTCACGTTGGCTTTCCTGCCATCGATGATGGGGTTGGGGTCCTTACAAGCCCTTTCAGCAGCAGCTCTGTCAGCCATGGTGACCTTAACGGGCGATGCCGCGCGTTAGATCTCTTTCCGCGGGGAAGGAGAAGCCTCCCGCCCACAGCAGCGACCCGGCCGTACCCGCGGGAGGCGCCGAGGGGCCCCCGGCCGGACCCCGGCTCCGGCCCGCCCGCCGAGCGGAGCGGGGCGCCGGGAGCCGCGGCGGGCGCAGGGCGGAGGGCGCGGGCCGAGCTCGGCCGCCGGCAGATAAACCCCGCAGCGGCCGTATCAGCGAGCAACAGGCGCGCCGGCGGTGTACGAGGAATTGGGCAATTCCCCCCCTCAATCTCCTTATTCAGTAATTCCCCCCGCCCCCCCGCCTCTATCCAAACTCCCCAGCAGGGAAAGAGAAAAATAAAATTTAAAAATATTTTAAAAAATTAAAAAAGAAAGGAGAAAAGCAAAAAGCCGGACGCCCCTCCCGGCCCCGAGCTCTCACAGCGGCCCCCGCGGAAGTTTCCCCGCGATGCCCCCCCACCGCAGCCGCCCACCGCCCTGCCCCGCGCCCCGGCACTTACAAAGCCGTATCCCCGGGACTTGCCCGTCTGCCGGTCGGTGATGACCACCGCCTCCTCGATGTCCCCGAAGACCTCGAAGTACTTGCGCAGGCTGGAGTCGGTGGTGTGGTAGGGCAAGCCCCCGACGAAGATCTTGGTGTAAGTGGTGTCCTTCTGCGTCGTGTGCATCTTCAGCCCGGCCCTGCGCGCCGCGCCGCGATCTGCACCCACGCGTGGCCGCCGGGGCGTGCGGGTCCTGGGCGGCGAGACCCGCTTCCAGACTCAGCCTCCTTTTTTCCTTTTAATTTTTTTTTCCTCTCTCCTCTCTTCCCCCGCCCCCCGTTTTCCCCCCGCCACCCAGCTACAATGCAATTCCCTTCTGCCTTTGCAGACCCAGCTTCCTCCTCCTTCAAGAGCGGAGCCTCGCAGCCTCGGGCGGTTTTGAGGTAGGTACCGGCAAAAGGAGGAGGGGAGGCCGGGCAGCAGCCAGCCTGGCGGCCGTAGTGCTGGAAACGAGCAGAAACAGCAGCTGGAAGACGAGTGCAGGGCCCGGGCTCTAACAACTGAGTGGCCTCCCCCCTAAAAGCCACCGGGTCGGTCACTCTCGGTTCCTCCTCCTCCTCCTCCTCGCAGGGGCGGGGACGGCGGCGGGGCGGACCCCGCGCTCGGCCGCGGCGCGGCCGGGGCTGACACTCAGCTGTCGGCAACAGCTGGATGCCCCCCGTGCGGCGGCAGCCGGGCCTCGGGGCCGCCAGCAAAGGGGCGGCCTCAGAGGTGCCCCTCGGGGACGCCCGGTGCCCTTCGAGGCAGGTCTGCTGCAAACAGCGAGTGCCAGGAGACAGGGGCCGGTGGGGACAGCGGTGCCCGGCCGGCCAGAGAGCCCGCGGGCACAGCCGGCTCACTGGCTGCTGGCGGTCCTCAAATGCTTCGGTCCCTCCCCGAAGGCTTGTGGTCAAACCTCTGCAACCTTCACTTACTGCTCTCTCCAAGCTAGCAAGACTATGGTGCTGCAACACATACATTTACATTGTGGTGGTGCTGGTGGTTGTGGTTCTTGCTGTTTGTTCGGTCACAACACGAAAAAAATGGTAAAGCTGTTTCCCTTGTTTTTCTCTTCTCTTGCTGCCTCTGCTCAATGCTGGGACTGGGAAGGATGAAGAGAAACATAAAGAAAGGAATGTCTGTGTGACGTGAAGAGACAGAGGACTTTGGGAGTTGGGGGGAAGGGAGACTCACAGGGAGACCAGAAGGATGGGAGGAAGGTTAAAGACTGGGGAAAACAGATGTGCATATGTGTATAGACTTCTAAACCATTCTCTTGCAGTCCCAAAGTCTTGATAAGTACTGTGTGTCTCTTTTTCCTCTTTCACCTTCTTCTGTCTGCTAGGCTTTTCCCTATGAAGACTCTCACGCTTAGGAAAATGAGCAATGCATCATTTGCAGGACATGTGCAGGACAAAGTTCTTCAGCCCCTCTGGTACCAAACATTAACCATAGTGAGAACACTTAGCCCTAAACTCAGGCCCTGTTTGCCCATATCTAACCTTAGCTCCATTTAATTTTTTCATCAGTAGTTTTCCTAGTTCTAATGGCCTATACCTATACCAATCCTAACCCATGCTGTCACTAAACCCTACTTGACCCTTCAGACTCTCCAGATTAAATTTGTTTTAACATGTTAAGGCTAACTCAAGTGAAATCTAGCAAAATTAGACATAAATGTTGCTTTTCAAGTTAAATTATGACAAGCCCTTGACGTTCACCTAAATTCAGTTATGTCTGCTAACTCTGTCCCCAGATGTCTTCCAGCTTGACTCTCCTGTTGGTCTGGAACATTGTGTTAAACCTGACACTCCAGCCACTTCTGTTCCGAGGGGTAACTTTAAACTCTAGCCCAGTGACCTGAACTTAAATAGTAGCCCAGCTAAGGGTGTCAGTGCTCAATGAAGCCCTGCAGCACACAGCCCACTTAGTAGTGCATTTAACTTCTCAGACTCCTGTGGACCTAGAAGATGAACTTCTAAAAAGTTCATCTGAAACCAAATGTAGTCCACCCCATCATGTTTCCTTTTCCTTGCTGTGCCCAGCACTCCTGAGTGCCTTGTGGTGTCTGCACAAAGGGTGAATTAGACTGGCTTTCCAGTCATTGCACAAACTCCTGTATGAAGGCCAGAAAAGCAACATTTGGCTGTCCCAGAAATACTTGCAGATGTATTTAGGAGTTCACCTTTTTCAGCCCAAGTGGAAGACTGATGACATTGACAGACCCAAACCCAAAATCTAGCTTTTTGGTCTAGCAGCAACAGCAGGTTGTCCAGGATTCAGAAAAAGTCCTGTTGGTTTTTTGGGGTTTTTTGTTTGTTTGTTTGTTTGTTTTTGTTTTTGTTTTGTTTTGTTTTTTTTTTCTTTTCAGAAGAAAACCCTAACTTTCCACACCTGTGTCTCAACAAAAGACAAGCTTCTTGCATTTAGGTAGGGTTCATCAAGCAGCCCTTGTTCATACTGCTAATTCAAAATATCTCCAGTACAGTTTTCGACCTACTCTGACAGGCTAACACATCCTCTTCTGTAAAACCAGAAGTGAAGCTGGCCATTAACAGATCAACATATATCCTGTAAGCTATGCTACAACAGTCCTACTACTGTATTAGCACCCTCAATTTAAGATGGCAATCCCAGTAAAATTCAGGAATAAATACAGTTCTCTATTCATTCCTATAACTGAACTGTATCACAAACACCATCACAGGAAAACAACCCCTACTATTGAAGTATAATTCCTCAAAACTCAGTTTTACCTTACATCCCTTCTATACCTTTTTCTGCTTTGGTGGTCCTGACAGAATCTAGGCTATGATTTTCCAGCCTTAGGATTCCTAGGAATCCTTACCTAAATCCCAGAGAAGTGATACCCCATCATTTGCAACTTCCTCTAGTCCATTCAGTCCACTGTCAACACAAGCCTTTATTTTTGTGTGGAATAATCTGCGAAAAACAAACACAGAGCTCCAGCTCTTGGATGCATGATCTTATGACCTAACTGTGGCTGATATGATTCTACTTGCACGAGTCTATCTACTCCTTCAGCTGCCCTCAGAAATAAAAATATTTTCCAATAATATCTCAGTCTTAATCGCCACTTTAGGTTTACTCAAAGAGAAAGGTGACCTCTATCATCTCGAAATCAATTAAAGACCATTTGAACACTTTAGTGATCAGGAATATATTGTATGCTTCTCTCATATACCATATGTTAACTCCAGATTTTGGGCTAGTCTTAATCCAAAGGAGGTTACCATGTACAGCCTAGAAAGGGAGTTCTTTCTGATTCACCCATTGTGAAAATGTTCTGGACTGACTGGGGCTTGTGTCTTTATGGAGGGCAGGTTTCTCCAAAGCTTGAAGAGTGAGGCTTATCTACAGAATCTGTAGGTCCCACAGAAAACTGATGAATCTGGATGAATTCAGATGAGGATTAGCCTGAAGTTAGCTTGACTTGGTGGGACAGTGTTTACCTGGCCATGCTGGATGTCTGGCTAAGTTTGCAGTCAAGACTAATGGATTTTAAGATTTAAAGGCATGGACTGTACAGCATTTATTGTGCTGAAGGGAAGTCCGTGGACAACTTCACCAGTGTCATTTTCCCAGTTGCTTGAGATAATATGTATTTTGGTGTATTTTGGTGTTTTGAGATGGATCAGCTAATGACTTTCTGGTTGTGGCTTTGGAATGCAAGTGTAGCAGAAAGAAATGTATTCCTATATGCTGCAAATTTTGCAGGAATGATGCCACTGGTGAAGTGTGGCAGTTTGGGCAAGAAGTGAGAACTTGTGGAAAAGGAGTGTCTCGGTGGAGCATTCCTGGGAGAGATGTGAGACTGAGGTTCCTAAACACATGGAAATTTGGAAATTGAACCAGGGCTACCCATGTTTTGGTAAGTACCACAAAGAGTAGATCACTGTAAAAGAGCAGGGTTGTTCCTGTAGGCAGCTATTTTGGCCTTTTCAGGATCTCAGTTTTAAATCAAAGTAGAACATAGGCACCCAGGTCCTGCTGCAGTCTTTTATATTGCTGGGAATCTCTCCTAGGTACAGAGGTATTTTTGCTGAAGGGTATTATAGTTGCCACTTACCTTCTATGTAATTTTAATGGTTTTAAAATATATATATCCAAAGCTATAAATGTGAAAGCGATCTAGTGTTTCATTTGGAACTTAGTAACACGGCTTAATGGGAGGAAACCCCAAAAGCTATCAGTCACAATTAATTGGTTTTACTCAGAGATTTTTGTGTTTTTGCTGAAGAGGTAGGATAGAATAGACAGCTTTCCAGTTTACCAAATGTTGCCACTCAGTGGTATCAGCGTAACTGTAATATCATGCTTTTTATTTATTTATGAACACCATATGCCTGTCATGTTGGAAACCAATGGATGTTGTGTGTTCATTCATTAGGTTTCTGGAAACAACAAAGACCCTGATTATATTGCACACCAGTCATTCTTGCTAGTGCTTTATTTCAGTAAATAATAGTGGTCTTCGGAACATTCACTGCACCATCAATTAAATGCGGCTGGAATTTCTATATACATATACATATACATATACGTATACGTATACATATATTACATGCACATTTTATTTGCTAACACTATTATTAGAATGCCTGGGGCCTAAACCACCATGATTTGTTATGCAGGGCTGAAAATAAAAGTAATCCTTTCTCTGTTAACCTAGTAAGACCATCAGTTCGGTCAGTGAGACATTTCTGCTGAAGTTCCATAATGCCACAGCTCCGTGAAAGCATTCGGCTGATAACATTAGGCACAGCTTTGTCTGCTAATCTTTGCACTTCCACCAACCACGTCCCATTACAGAGAAGAGCAGAATGTCTAACCTCTGCTCTGCTCAGTGTGTGCTACATGGGTGATAGTTTGACTTTGCCTAGGGAAGCATAAAGTAGGTAGTACACTCATGTTCTTGAATTGTGAATTTCTGCTAAGTTTCCTAACTGGGGAAGCTTCCACCACCTCTCTCCTGATAGTGTCCCAATTATAACAGATTTCATCGTAGGATTTTTTCCCCCCCTGAAGCCTATTAATATTGCTGTATTCCAAAGTCCATTTTGTTACAGTATTTGAGCTCTAAGCCACATGAACTTCAACTATGAAAACATCCTTATTCCCAATTAAATCACCAAATGTCAACCACCAGGTATAGTTTCTGATGGGAATATTTTTCCCTTTAAAGGGCAGTGGAAGAGGTGACACAGAATTTCAGTGATCCAGCAAACAAAATTCAAAGCTTGTAGAACTGTAGATTTAAGACACATTGCCTATCTGTAGGAAAATAATAGGCATGTCAGGGGAAGCAGAGGTGAATGATGAGTGAAGCCAGAGGTTGAAGGCATCCATAAAAGTTACAATGCATGTCATTTGGTAGGGGAACACGAGGAAAAGGTATCTTAGGAAAAAAAAACCCAAGGGAAAGTGTTCATGAATACGAAGTCATGGGTGCTATACTGAACAGTGCTGGCCAGTGCTAGAACAGTTCAGAAAGTAGAATGCGGCTGGTGCTGGGTGTGAACTGAAGTTGTCCTAGGATGCTGTAATGGAGGGAGCGCCAATGCCAGAGGCTGAACTTGCAGAATCACAAAGCTCTCACACCTACCATGGGACACACTCAGGGTTAGAAAAATGATTCTTAATGTTGACAAAAAGCAAGGCAGTTGTGTCAGGGAAGCAATAAATTGGGATTTGCAGACTAGCTAAAACTTAGAAATTGCAGTGTGAAACACCTGAGTCTCATGCTTACCTGTCCTGATCACAGGCAACTGAGAGACATTTAACAAATCTGCAAAATGGCATTGGTGTTCTGTGTGGCATGATAGCTGAATGACTGCCTGCTAAGCACACTCCTGTGCATATTTAAAATGTTGTACACCTGCCCCACCATAGTGCCCAATGGGAAAAGCAGTGCTTGGACCTGTCTGCTGAGCCATATACACATAGCCTGGACTGATAAAACACAAAACTCATTGCATGCTTGTATTTTGTATGCAAAACAAGAAGTCTGGTACAAAGAATACTGTTGAGAAAAAATTCTCAATCAGTCTAAACTAGTGAAGCACTACTAAAAGCAAAGAAATTAAACCAAATTTCATCAAGTTGCATCTGACCTGCAGTCAAATAAGTGGAAAAAGAAAAAAGAAACAAATATGGGGATGCTGGTGAAAGACATACACTAAACCCTCACCAGTTATTATTACAAGGGATTAAACTGGCAGTCGACAAGCTGTATGCCAGACATCAGCCTCACAGAACACTGCACATCTCTTAGCAGAAGTAGGTTAGTAGAAATGAAATGTGGATACATGGCTAGAAATGCAGAGAAGAGCTCATTCAAACATGCTTCAGCCCCTTAGTCCTTAGTGAGAAACTGATGACATGAATGCCATAGTGCTGCAGCTCTGGATTCAGGAATAGCCGTGTCAGCGGCCTCTTGCACTCTCAGCCCTCCAGAGGAGTGACTTGCGCTTTCCTGTCAGAGAGCTGGAAGGTTCTAATTTATGGCCAGAAAATACCACATCCTCATTTGTCAAGTTCAACCCAACCCTTTTTTTTTTTTTTTTTTTTAAAGGACTTAGTTTTTCTTGTGTTGCTTGTACTGAGGAAGCTGAGTTTGCAAGAAAATTTGCTTTCACCTCACTGCTGAAGCAATTAGAGTCCAAAATGTTCCCTTGACTACTTTTTCATTTAGAGGAAAAGAGAGGTTTCAGTGTTCCTCAGCACTCACCCAGGGATGTCTGCTAATCATAGCATGGGCAAAGAAGAGAGACAACTGCTCCAGAGAACTGTCTTCTCCTTTCCTTTGGAGGTATCTGGGGCACAAAGACACATAGAGGAAATGCAGATGAATTAGATTTGTGCTCCATCTTCTTCTCACAGCATTTTTTGCTAGGGATGTGGAGGAATTCTTCATGTTGTGACTTGGACAATCAGACTAAAGCTTGAGACTTTCTTTGCAAGTCCTGAACAGAGGATTTAGGAGGGAAGATGGACTTTAGCTGGAGGTCATCCCATTTATGCACTGTTGTCTCTGGACAGACAGTGTATTGCCGTGCTTATGAGTTGTGCTGTAGGAGAAAGTAGCTTGTTTACTAGCACAGCCATGTTTTCTGATCCAAAGATATCATGTTACTGTCAAGTATTTTTAGTCTGAGCTTCTTACTATCCAGTTTACTTTGCAGTCTTGGTTTCTTCAACTAAAAATAGCTGCATTATAACAATAGCTTTTAGGTGGTTCCACTTGTTGGATTAGATGTGATTTGTTAAAAAAACCACCAGCATGTGATGGCTGTTCAGTGCCTTCATTCCAGAAGGACCTTGGAGAGATTTACTACCCTGCACTGAGTCTCACCACCTGCTGCTGTGGTACGGCCAGCGCTCCTCTGTAACACAGCATTCCTCTTCTTCAAGTGCTGTCAGACCACATGATCTGTGCTGGTTCGGAGATAATTTTTTTTCCTGTCCGTTTTCTTTCTTTTGTAGGTAGAAACGAGGTAGAGTTAGAATTTGGCCCACACACTAAAGTGGAATAACCCTCCATCTGCAAAAGATCGTGGAGGCTTTCTTCACACCCTGCCAAAAGGTCAGGATCGCTGTAGTACGATCCCTTGGTAAGGTGACACCTGCAGGTATACAGCACTGCTCCCGTCTTCCTGTGATATCCAAGCAGAAGTGACTCAGAAGGGAGGAGCTCTGCCTGCACTGAGTCACCACTGCTTTCTACATTTACCCTACAAATTTGAAAGTCAAATTCTGTCAAAAATTTACCTGTAAGTTTAACCTGTAAGATTCTAGGCCCAAAAAGGCCCCTGTAAGATTCTAGAGTTTAACCTGTAAGATTCTAGGCCCAAGGGCTACAGCTTCAAAACTATGCAGCAGGTTGGGGTTTTTTTTATTGTTTTGTTTTGCAGAATAAGTGGAAGTTTGAGCATGTTACCGCTCGAGAAGCGGGAGTTTCATCAGTGTAGCATCTACATACTTATTGCTGCAACCCAGTAAGGTAATGTGAGGTTTCTAAGCATTCTTACAGCCTTTATTGTCCTCAGTTGGAAAAGGCATGACTTTTGTCTTTAAAAAGAAGTTAAAAAAACCCAACCAACCAAACACAGGCTTTGTCATGAGAATAAAAATAGTACTGTTTGGCTGGTTTGTCATGTTTGTCCCTTAGTCTTAAGTTTCACAGTTCATATAAGGTGTGAGGTTATGAAGTAGGACACAGAAAGCATGTTGTGTTCTAATGCCTCCATTTTCACCTCTAGAAAGGACCTTTTCTGAGAAAATACAACTGTGAGTGTATTTAACAGTGCTGTAGAAAAGATACTACATTGTCCTTTGGTAAGCCATGTACAAGGATCAAACTGTATTTAATTCTACCAAAGAATTACTGTGGCTTTGAAAAATGGACCCAGGCAACATGAAACAATTAAATTTTCATGTTAGTTGCATATAAGAATTAGGTGTAGTGCTTGAAGTTTTTAAGTCACAAAAGGTAGACTGTATTGTGAGACCTAAGATAAGCATCTTGCCTACCCAATTAGCATTTGTCAAAGTCTGTTCATTTTCACTGAGGTTTATCAATTTGTTTTAAAATTAGAGTCTGAGCAATAATTTTTTGAGATTTGCTCAATTTACCAAGATCTCTAATGAAGTATGAGGTGACATAAAGAGATCATCCCACTTGCTGACTTGATCCTGTGCACATTGTCTTTTCATGGGAGCTGCAAGTATGTTGTCATGTGCTGTGTCCCTAGGGAATTTGGGGAAAGGTAAGGATATTGCATCTGCTGCAGGCATGTGCAGGGGACCTCAGTGGATTGGTGCAAAACTGACTTGCTGTCTGATCTGTACATATTTTGCATTTGAATAAGGCTGGACTAGGCAGGATTGCCTCACTTCAAAGCACAACAATCTTTTAGGGGAGTAAAATGCAATATCACTAAATCAGAATTGGAAGAAACTGCATTCCTGCACATTGATTTTACTATACTGGCTTGCTGTCTACTCTCATACACAGAATGTCATGCATTCCATATAAAAAGCAGGTATATTAAATTAAATCATGAGACACCAACTTCTTCATATTAAAGCATATTTTTTTTAACCTCCCTGGGAAAATTCTTGGTCATTTCAATCTCTCAGCTATTTCCTTGGTACTTATTTTTCTCTTTTCATCTTTGAAACTCAATAAGGAAATAAAATACCAACATAAATAAATGAAGAAGAGGGTTTCTCAACACCAATAAGCTAGACAAAAGAAACAGAACACTAGAGAATGTTTATTTATTTATGTCATCTTCATGAATGCCATACTTTGGAAGGAATAGGAGATTTTTTGTTCATGTTTGACTCTCAAGTGCGTTAACAGGTTTTATTGAAATGGAGGGATGGGGGAAGGCAGTGGCGTGAAAAAACCAGATACTCTAAATGCAACCAGATGAGAAGTTCATGAGAAATACTAGTGAGTAAGAAGAGTAATTTAAATTTGACATTATATGCAGGGGATGGGAAAATATTTTCATAATCTTATTTAAATGGAGGAAATCTTGGTGAAAGGATGCATAGTTGTGTACTAGAAATACAGTTTGTTCTGAAGGATTTGTTCCGTTCTCCTCCCTCTTCTGTAAAGGCATCCTTTGTAAGTTTGCTTGTTTTGTCTGTGCTGTCATCCTAATAGGCATCTTCTGAAACATGTGAAAAGACCCTAGAAAATAATAGAGCTCCTTTTAATGAGTTCAGTACATGCACAAGTGTTTTCACGATCTCAGAGTATCTCTGCGGTTGAGATCCATACCGCCTGTCTCTCTTTGTGACTGTTTTGAGTTAGTGTGTAGCACAGGGAGTTCTGGCTTGGGGATTCTCTGCACTGCTGTGACCCTGGATGCATCATGAAAACAGTCCTAAAAGTGAAATTCAGGAATTGTGTAACAGTTTTCTCATCTCACTGAGTAAGAATTGACAGCCAAGTATGAGAAGATAGAAGCAGGGAAAAACAATCCCCTGTACTGGCAAGGGTATAAATAAAAATTTCAGATCAGTCCCCAACACATGACATTTCTCAGAGTTGCAATGTATTGTGTAACTTCTCTTACCACAGAAGCTTAGGGACTCAGGTGGTGTCCAGCAACCTTAAAGTCTACATGTAGCTAAACCATGCTGCATCTCAGATCAGATCCAAGGAAACAGTCACTAGAGTCTGAGTGCTGTTTGTATGGTCTGTCTAATGTCATTTCAAGTTATCTGATAGCAGCTCTTAAAATGCTGGCAGTTTCCATGCTGTTAGGCAAATGAGGCTTAGAAGAATTAACATATATATATGGTCAGTGAAACAATACAGAGCAATATGTGGGCTTTTCATTAAGTGGTTTTTTGGGAAATATTTTTCTGTCCTCAGGATTCCTTCACATTTATTTACATTTACATTATTCTTTTTGAAACAGCATGTGCATTAGAAAAACAAATGTCAGATAACTCTGCATTGCAGTTGTCACCCCACTGACAAACAGCCACGTTGAGGGTGGGGGTACCCTCTCAATGCAAACATAAAGGACCTCAGATTTTATGAATTTCTCATCCATGCACAGGGGGACATGAAGGCATTCTTTAATATAAGACAAGTCTAGCAGCATTTAATTTCACTAGGAATATTTGCTTTCAGACACTGTATGAGTAAAGAAGATAAATATTATGCCAAAAATCCAGCTGTATATTCCCAGAGCAACCTGGCCTAATGTGCTGGTGCTGCTGCTGTGGGTGCTGATGTGGGTGAGAGGTCATCAGTTTCCTTTGCTCTTTGCTGTATCCAGAAGGTGAGTTGTGACAGAGGGGCTTGGAGGCTAGAGATCAGAGGGAAAGTAGTCATGTCAGCTCCAACTATTTTGTTGTTGATTTTCTAAATACCTTATTTCGGCTATAGCTTCTTTACTAGTGTGAATTTTCTGCATTGAGGAAAGAGAAGAAAAACAACCCCAGATTTTGCAAGTCAGAGGCTTGCTGAGCATATCCTTTACTCTGGCATCTCTGTATGGCTTTGCTGCTGTTTCTGTTGTGTGGAGGGCATGGCTTGAGCTTTACAAACCTAATGCCTCTTGCATAAATAGATTTCTCGTCTCCAAAATATCACATGATAATTATCATAAATAAATAAATGAATAAATCTACGCTGGAGAGTGACCTCAATCTAAAACTTCTCATCTGAGTTGGCACAGGTAACTGTGAAGAGATACTTAAAGATCTATATTAACAGTGTAATTGTCTGTGTAAGATTGGCAAGGTCAGGTATACTGGGAGTCACAAAGGCTGATTTCATGAAGAGCCATGATTTATATCAGTGTCTAAAAAACGTGTCAGCTCTCACTGAACTATTTCCCTTGAGTGGGGCAATCAGAAGCATGGGTACTTTTTTGCCTCTTGCCCCAGTGCTAACACAGATTCTTGCATATGTGATAAGTGAACAAACTTTTCTGGGAGTCATGGCATGGAAAAGATCACTTGTCTCCACCAAAGAACTATTTTCATGAAACTTGTAAAATCTTGACAATCTCTGAGGACTGATCTCCTTTGGTGCATTTGGTTGACACTGCCAGTGGATTTGTTAGTTTTTAAGGAAAGGAAAGGAAAAAAAGTAGGTGGACTGACTGCATTCCTTTGAGGCCACTGATTATAAGAAAACCAGGAATGTAAAACTGGAGAGGAAATACAGACCTGTCCTGGAAATGCCCTCTCATTTAGCAATGGACAAGATGGGTGTTTGAAACTATTTTGGAAAAGTTGTTTTATGTACTCAAGGAAAAAAAATAAAAAAGAGAGCAAGCTCAGACAACTCCTCAGTGTTTTTGAGTTCCACCAAGTGCAGACAAATTCACAAACCCCTCTGAAAAATCTACCTATCAAAGACTCAATCCACAAAGCATGAAATTTGCAAAACTCCAAGGAGGCTGTGGCCCAGTTGGTGACTTCAGAGACTATGTACCTGACCAAGACATGATCTGGACATTTCCAGCATGTACTACATGTAGGGCCTAACTTTTGTGATTGACATGGCCAGAAGAATATTTTGCAGGTGGGGTCTGCTGAAGTGTGAGCATCTTTTATTTTCTGTTTTTGTTTGATATTGATGAAGGAGTCAGCCAGCACTGCCTGTTGAAAACAGCAGTTTGGTTTGTGGCATCATTTTTTTCTAACCTTGCTTTCAGCTGTTGTTGGTAGTGAAGGGATCACTTTTATATCTGAATGCAGAGTTGGAGCCTATGAAATGTCTCAGTCTAGCAGAGGCTCGCTCTGTACCAGTGAGGCAGGAGAGCAGTAAGAAGATGAGAAAGCAACTAATTTATTTTTCAAGTTTCTAATATTTTTTTTCAACTAGCGTGAAATACTTCTGAAAAGGGACCTTTGTCTAAAATACTTGAACGTTACATTTATTGGTTTACTCTGTAAGAACACATTTAATACAAACAAGCAAACAAGAAAAGCCTGACAACTTTTGCCATTGTTAGGAACATGGGGACGCCTTTGCTAATCAGAAGCAAAATTACATCCAGAAAATATTTGTTGCCATAGTGACCATATTTCGTTGGTTCCCTTTTCTGTTGTACAGATCTTATTTAATTATTTCAGATATTTATAAATAGCTTCCCGTGGGTCCAAAACTAATGGCTACAAAGTAAAGTTACAAAGACTTTGGATGTGCAGCTCAGTGTGGTCAGATGGAGACCCACTTAAGCAAAGCAATGTGAGCATGTGGTTTTAAGTGCTGCATCTCTTTCCAAAGAACTGCACATGTGCTTAAAATCATACATGGGCTGAAATGGTCTGCTGCAGCTCACAGCAGATAGCGCACATTTCTATTTTAAACTGTGTGGTTTGTTTTGATTTAACTTTCATAAAGTTCAGTAGAAATAAGTCCTTAAGTAGTTACACCATTAGTCATACTAGGAGTGGCCATTTGCTTACTCAGTAGTTGCTGTGAGCATTAGAGAAAATATGGGCATGTACACCTTTCATGGTTTCATGTTCCTTCCACTAATCCTCAGCATCTGTGAATCGTCCTCTGCAGTCCTCTTCTCCTTATTTTTGTTTATACTAGTGCCAGGGAAATGGTTGAAACACATGAATTTTACAATTGCCTAAAAGGGAATTTTTCTCTAAGTGTACAAGTTGAGTGTGCAGTATGTGTAATCTCCAATAGTTCAGGTTCCCTCATGAGGAAATGCTCTTGAAAGCTTTATCATACTCAGGTGCCAAAAGTCTTGCAGCTACTCTTCATTGTTTGCTTAGAATATGAATTCCACATCCTTTGACTCTGTATTTTCATGCGTTAATTCTGCCTTTTAAGTGCAATCACAGTTAGTTTGTGTGAGAAAGAGGAAAAGGTTAAAAATTTACCATTCCTACTGCTTTGCATAGGTTTTATCCCCTCCTGCAAAGCATGGCATATGCAACTGGTTCTCTCCTCATTTGGCACAACACAGGGCATTAGAATGTGGTCCAGATCAATAGGATTGCAAGGGACAGCTGAACCTGGAGGAACAGAAAGGGAGAATTCCAGAAGCAGCTTAAAAATTACACTGACATAAATTGCCATCTGCAAAGATAAATAATCAGAAAACTGGTTAACACCTCTGACATCATCTTTATCCATACTGCTTCCACGTATTTTCAGAACGTAGTTTATATCAGACATTTGACACCTTTCTAGCCTTCTGCACTCAGACTTTCCTAAAATATGCAAATTTGCATTGCAAATCTGTTTTTGTCAGAATCCAGGTGGCATCTTTGCAAAAAAAGTCAGGTTTGGGTTTTAGTTTTTAATGCTCCTCAGTGTCCCTGGGGTGCCAGTCACACTTTCTCCTGCCAGAAATTATATGGTATTTACAATTTTTTTAGACTTACGAAGAGTCAGACTCCAGGTCCCTCAGACTACATATAAAGAGAGGACAAGATCTTCAGAATTCACTCTTTCAGCTGCTCTGTGAATCCACAGGAAACAGTCAAGATATCCTGAGACTGTATCTGAAGGCATCCCATGGCAACACCTGATCTGCAAATGTCCCTCTTGAAGCTGTGCTGCTGGACAGGAGAAAGGTCTCTTCCTGTGACGTTTATTTTGGAATATTCATCAGCTAAGGAGGCCTGGTATCTACTTTCCTTACTTACCATGTATGTTTGCTGGCAGCTTGCCCCCCATTTTACCCTGCTGAAGTATTCTGGGATGTGCTACTGCAGTCCTCTTCCATGGAGTGGTTTTTCAGGGAGTAACAGTGGTCTTCCTGGAGCTGGGATTAAGGCTAGCAAAGAGGGCCAAAGCTTGCTGTGTCCTGGTCCTTGTGTCTCATGGGATCAAGGGCAACAGCGTCTCCCACAGCAATAGGTTTCCTGGGATAATCAGTTGATAATTGTGAGCTTTTTTGTTCAGCAGTCCCCACTGTAGTTTCCTCTCAGTACAGTTACAATGAGCTTAGTGGGAGATTGTTCAAATAAATAAGAAGTGTCTCAGATTTTAACCCAGTAAGTTCCTGTCTTAAAGCAGCGATGTCGTGACAAAGAGATGATTTTGTTCTGGTGCTGTATTTAGCAGAGGTTTGGAACTTTTGCATCCCAAACTCATGCAATGTGTGGAAAGGAAAAGCCCTCTTCTACACGTCTCACAACACCTCCAGGCGAGGAAGGGCCATTTTGCGTCAGAAGCTGAAACAGGCAAAATCCAGTAAAGGAGGCAGGGACAGGCATTCCTCTGCCTTGGCAAAACCAGAAAAGGAGATGGGGAAGAACCCTCAGAGGAGGACCCAGACAAGTACAGAAGGATTAGTCTGTGATATACTGTACAAGGTAACCAGAGCTGAGCCTGGCAACAGGCAGCCCTGCAAAGCACGGCTCCAGTGCTCTGTGTGCAAGGGGCTGTTGTCCATCAGCTCCAGCATGACCTTGCACAGGCTGTTATCACAGCTGTTGGAAACTGTTATGTCAGTGTACCCTTTCAGTCTCTTCAGGAATAGAAGAAGCTGTGCTCTTTTGGATTCTTTAATGCCCTGCTTAGTCTGGATCACAAGTTAGTGAGACATTGATGATTTTAACCCTGTACTATAGAGGCCTATTTGTTTGTATTCTTGGGATGAGCTTTTTGTTTCTGTCAAACACTTCCAGAGCAAGTTTATGCAGAAAGGAACTGGAATAATTTCTCTTTCCTTATACCTTTATCTTTTTCTGCTAAACATTGCCATGTTATCACAGTATTTAAAAAAAAAAATCTTCTCTGTAGGAAGTTTCCTTTTGGCTCTGTGTCATTTTTTTCCCAATAATTTTGTAAGGCTCAGTGTCAGTTTGGGTTTTACCTTCATTAAAAATGCACTACAGTTTGTGCTCTCAACTTTCACAAATACACCGTAATGCCAGTTCTACAATTGAGTTCCCTGCTTTTCTAGCCCTGCTTCTGTTTGTTTTTCAGAGAGAAATGGAGAAGCTAAATATTTATACAAGGGAAACTGTATTTGCATAATCAATAAATGGAAAAATCAGAGAAATAATTCCACCTCTGCTCTTTAAGTTTCAGTAATGCTGCATGTAAGCTGTTTCAAAGAGAAGTTGTACCCTTGACCCAGCTGCAGCAGACATCCCTTTAACTGCTTGTACTCCTTTTAGACTCGTTTGCATAAAAGAAAAACTCCCATTGTGTCTCAGAAATTCAATATAATATGGAAACTAGATAGGTTGGGTTGTTTTTTTTAAATAAATGTCTTCTGCTCAACTTTAGTACGGCAAGGAAATTTGATTATCACTTGTTGACAGGTATGCAGGTCATGTCAAGTGTTTCTGACATGTCTATTTTAAGTTAGGCTACAATTTGTATTTTGATTATGACAGAGTAAAAATACTTGGACAACAGATAGTCTTTGCCTGTGAATGAAAATTGGAACATGCAAGTTGTGGTCAGACAGGCTTCTGTTAGGGAGACGAGGTTTTGATTGGGTCACTGCCCAGAGGTGCTAATTAAAAATATAGAAAGAAACAAAACTTTGCATCGCCCTCACTCTCTTTGAAACAAAAACATCAGAGCAACACAGGAGAAATAACATGAAATGACTTGTGAAAGGCAACTAGAGATTTTCTGCTTGCCCATTTTGGGAAAGTGATAAAGTATCCATTTTCTGCTTAACTGTCTGTTTTATTCCACAAGCCTGCATTTCTGCAGCATTGCAAGATGTTTTAAGAGTGAAATACCCTGTGGGTCCTGGCTCCTTTGGCTCTCATCAGTGAGTAACTCAGCCACAGTCAGCAGCTGACACCCGTAAGGAAGCTGGTGTGAGGTCAGGAGCTGGAGTCCTTGCTGGCTTGCCAGCGTACTGGAATCAGTCACCCCCTTCATTCCTTTACAACTCAGCAGCAACAGGATCACTGCACAGCCCTCTGCAAGTCCCCAGGTCTGAAACCAGGGGTTGTGTCTCTGTGTGGGGTCTGTAATGTTAGGAGCAAAACGAAGAGCCCAGTTAGAGGCCATTTATCTATGCCAATATTAGGAGACACAGGCTCACAAGTAGTAGCGTCCCAATTTGGCTAACAAGGGCACTAGACTTGAGACTAGTCCTCAACAGAACAAACTTCAAGTGTCACTTTCCAAGCAGTTGTCAGTAAAGTCTGGAAGCAAGGAGTGTGTTGGTCAGTATTCAGTTCTCTCCTTTTGGAAGCAGACTGGTTCTTGGGGAAAAAAAAGTTGTCAGAGGATGAGAAGAGGGGGATGCTGAAATTTTGCTGGATTCAGTGTCTGTTTGGTCTTTATCCAGCTCTGAGCTCAAAGGCAACACTTGTGATAATACATTTTCTTCACCATAGAGACAAATGCACCTCCTGAGGGAAAAAACAGTTGCTTTGACATTTCAGGCTGGGAAACCTATCCTTGACACATGCACAGGCCCTGATACATGGTGTCTTGGCTTCACATGCTTACGGCTGTCTGGGAGGTTGGCACTGTCCCTGTTCAAAGGCAGTGGCATGCCAGCACTGCAGTGGTGAGGTCCCCAGCAGAGATGTTTGCACTGGGAAGGCAGCAGAGCATGGCAAATGGCATCTCTGTCATAGGAGAGGATGTTCTCTGCATTAGCCATGGCGTTGTGCACTTGCTCACCCGTGGTAATGTATTTATGTCAGCAAAATCCCCAGCGAAACAGGGCAGAAAAGAAACGGAGCTTATGTTATGTTGTGGCTGCCAGCAGTCACAAACTGCACTGTGGCAGGAAGCTGAGTGTAAAAATCAACTGTTTTCAGACTTCTTCTAGGAGCTGCAGTCTTGATTTGCAGAGCTGCCAAAGACCCGCAGTGCTTATGCTTTCAGCTGGATGGGGGAGTCATTCTGGAAATCTGTCCAAGGGATTTAAAATCAAGCCCCTGGCTAGTAACAGCACTGCATGACTAAATATTGGTGTCCAAAGGAATAGATAGCACAGAAAAAGTGACTGGGCACAGAGGTGACCATGCTGGAACATAAATCATTAATATGAGAGATAAGGTGAAGCACAAATAAGGACAATATTGGTATTCTACAGTATTACCCCAGTGGTTCTGCAGCCACAGTCATCGTTTCATAGAACTGTCTGGCCAAGTCTGTGTAAAAACTCAACCCAAACAAATGTGCTCTTGGCTTCAGTGTGAGGCTCTGATAGTTTTGCAGAGTTCAATACAGCCAGCTTTACTGCCTGTGTGTGCTTCTTCACCACGATAATTCTCCTTCAGCAGAATAAGTGCTTACTGACTATCTGATTATAGAGCTGAGGTTATGGGCTCATAAAACCAGAGGACACTAAGAGATGATCTCTACATGTGACAGCAAGATGTGCAATCACATCCAAACACAAACTATGCCATTAGTATTACTTACTTTTAAAGCACCATTATCCCTACATTGTTCTCTCTCATTAACAATTAGTCATGCAGACCCTTGAGAACTTTAATATGATATCCCTACAAGCTCATCAGGCAAATCTCACACGGTTGCGGTGTTCCATGCAAGATTTATAAGACGGAACTGGCTGGATGTGAATGTGGGAGTAACGGTCCATAAGCAAATGTGACATAAAAAGAAGCCAGCCAGGAATGCTGCCTACTGAACTTAGAAAGCCTGGCTGTAGTGGGAGTGCTGTTATTTCAAAATGGCTTCCATGTTTTGGGGTGGAAGGGAGTCATTTTGTCATAGGAGAAGGAGGAACTGCATAATGTCCATGGTATTTACACACTGGTCAGTGAAATTCAGCCCCTGCTTTTGAAATCGTGTAGCTGTATGCATTTTCTATTTGAATGCTGTGTTAGGAGAGCCTGTGCTCCTCCACTCCCTCCCCCTTCTTTCCCTTCTTTTCAGCAAAAAGAGACCTCACCAACAAAGAGAAAATAGATTGAAAGCTCCTGCATCCAGGCTCTTTCAAGCAAAGCTTGAGAGAGACTTTGGCACATAATGTCTTTAACATTATGTTCACTGCCCTTAGAAAGCAATAACCCAATACATTCTGCTGGCAGTTAGCAAGTGCAGTGATTTCAACACAGATGAGAGAAGAGAGGACAAAGAAAGAATATGCTTAGAGCATCCCTTTCACTATGAACCTAGGGGCCAGCTGGAGTGTTTACAAAGCTCTAAGGCCAGCCAGCAGGGAGTTGCAATAATCTAATTTTAATTATGTGACAAAAGCATGAAGAATCATTTCAAGGGCTAACAGAGGAAAATGGTTGCAGCCTGCCAATATTCCTTAGATGGTAAAAGAAGACAAGTTAGCTCACAGAATTTAGTTGTTTCTCAAAAGACTAAATGGGATCTATCACAACTCCCAGCCTGCTGTTGTTAGAGAACAAACTGGTTGCCAGAAAAAGGCTTTAGATGTCAAAGAAAGTTCCCAAGAGGCATCCAGGAAAAACAGCAATACCTACGCTCCTCCTTATTAAATAAAAGATATACTCTACCAGCAAGCAAACCAAGTCCCATAATCACGTGAAGCTGGCTGGTATGAAATGCTGTGTATGCAAATATACATATACTATATATATGTACACTGGCTATAAATTGATAGACCCTTAATCCGAGTTCCCCAGGACCACACCAATACAAAGGCTGTTTTGCTGTCCCAAGCAAAGCACAGAAAGGGAAGGAGAGGGAAAGGGAAGGGGGAAGGGGCAACAGGCAAGTGGGAAAGGGCAAGGCCCAAGTCTTCCTGCTTTGCACACATCCCAGCTTTCTGGCAGAAAAAGAGTGCTGTGTCCTGACAATAACAGAACAGAGAGTTCACAGCAATGAACCAAATAATTTTGACTGCACTGCACAGAGGGTCATAGTGACAGTGAGGGGAAACCAGTGACATTTCATGCTACCAGAAGATGAATCCATAGGTACTTATTGTAGGATTTTCTTTCTGGATGAAGACTGAATCCAAACACTTAATACAAGATTATCCTTAATTTTATTTTTCAGTAATACTATACACTCTCTTTGTTCTCTTTAATCTGCTGTTGCATAGGGATTTCATGATTTGGTTTTATTATTGCTTGAGACATCTAGTAGCGAGCAAAACTTCAGTCTTTTGCAAAAGAGTTGTTGGAAATACTGCATTTTCAAGCAATTCACATTCAATAATTCAACAGTCACTGGGGTTTCGTGGGAACTTTCACATAATGGCATAGCTTGTTTCAGGGCTTTGTGATACGCTTGAGCTGTTCCCCTTGCCACAGCATCACTTTGATGACAATGCTACATAGGATGCCAAAAAGTGCAGGTAGCCTGGTTTTGCTCCCACTCTTTATTATCCCATTAAGTGGAATAACATGCTGCTGAATAAATGCATGGCTTTCAAGTTCAAGAAATGTTTATAAATGGTCAAATCTTTAGTTAAAGTACTTTATCATAATTCAGACCAACTGTCATTTGAAATAGGAGCGTACTGCAATAATTTGTATATTTTAGGCAAATGCAGAGTATGGTGTGTGTACTCACTGTTTTAGCATAGTTCTGTTTACATCTGGGTCTACAGTTTTGCAGAGAGAGTATGTGGTAGAAAGAGGATTTCTTTCCTGTATAGCCAACAGAAGAGCAAGTAAAAGTGATGTAATATTTATTGTGCATGTCTTCAAAATCAGTGTGGTTCTCTCTATAAAATCAATTAGGTCTCTCTGTAGAGTGACTTTTGTAATGAAGGCTTCTACACAAATACAAATGATAACTAATAAGGCATTATAAAAATCATTATTAAAAAAGTAACAAACAAAACTTTGCTATCATCCTATACTCTTTTCTTCTTTAAAATGGTCTCAGTGATAATCACTACTAAATTGGACCTCAAAGTAATTATTTACAGCAATACTGCCAGCGGATATTGCCATGTGCAAATTACTTTTCCCCATTATGTGACAATGATGTTTTTTTTCTTGATCAATATTGTCATTCATATTTGCATAAACTGAGGTCTTTTTTCTGTCAATTTAGCCACTCTTGCTTGGGTTTTCCTTCCAACATAAGTGTTTTTGGCTCAGGTTAATACTATCATTTTGCATTTCTCTGGAGTAGGGTTTTAAGGTGTAATTTAGCATTCCTTTGCTTATTTTAAACCTTTCTCAGGCCCAGGTTTTATTGCTGACATCTTGCATACACTGTGAAAATAAGGGTGCTGTCACGTGTTGACACCTTCTGCCATCACACCTTGAATCAGGAGCAGCTTCAGGCACAGATAAAAGAGGCAATTTCCTGTCTCCAGTGGTCCATCCTCCTCAGTGTCTGCCTGTGGTACCTGTGCTGGAGGAGATGACAACGAGCTGTTTGACCACTCTTTGCTGTCTGGGCATCAATTCTTGTTACCAGTGACTGAAGGGGAGCAATGTGAACAAAGCAAGAACTACTGTTTGTGTGGGCTGGGCAGGGCTCTCCCTTGCAGGGAAAGTCACTGATGCCTCTCTCTCGAGGTGCTTCTGGGGCTGCTGAGGGATGTAGCATGATGCTACATTGGGTCTTAAAATGTAAAATAAATTGGTGTTGCAGCTAAACAACAACCATTAGCCTGTCGATGCTTGAATTCAGCCAAATGCCAGGTTTACATGAATAAAATAAACTTATTTTTCAGTCCTTCTAACCAAGCTGTAAGCTGTTCCCACCTCCTTGGACCATATCCTAGCTGTAAAGTCAGATGGATTAATTCTGGGCAAATCATTGGACTCATTTAGGAAGCATGATAGAAAAGGGAAGAGTGGGGGGGAAAAAATTAGGAGAAGAATTTAGGGTTGTCATCAGCTTTCTGGTGATATAAATGTTTGTATAAAGGTTTATGACTAACTGCTGACATGAATAATTTTTCAAATAGCTCTCACGCAAACATTATATACTCTACTGTTATTTTCTTAGTAATCTGGTGAGGGACATCTGAGTTTCTGGAAAACTGAAGTAATTTGCTATGAAATTGGCAAACTAGGGCAGGTTTTGATAAACAATCCAGAGGGAAAAAAAACAAGGAAGGCTAAGGCCTTAAAACAACCGTTATTTTCAAAACAATCCTCTTTAATTTTTCATTTTAGAAGTGACCCTCTTTCATTTTTACAATTAATTTTCAAATGTAGCATCTTGAAGCTAGATTTAATAACTCCATATGTAACCCACAGGATTTTTTTCTCTTATTTGAGAGAGCCTGAAGTGAAAAGTCCATTATTCAATCAGTTCCAAAGGGTGTGAGTTTCAGAAGCCAGAACAGGTTACTGAGATGGGAGAGCAGGGCAGAGTGGAGGCAGTGATAAGCCCAGCACTAGCTGTTGGTTGACATGACAAAGATTGGTTTTGTCAAGGGAAGAGGTGGAAATATTCCCTCCCCTTTTCTATTTTTTGTACTTTAAAGAAAGCTGAAGTCCACACTGGCATTCCCAAATGCTTAAAAGCTATTCATTTCAGCATTCCTTTTTCCCTCCAAGTTACCCTAAGAATCATTAAGCTGTTTTCCTAACAATATGCTTTTTCCTCTCCAAACAAGATAACTTTTTCTCCAACTGGGACAATAACTGAAACCTAGACCAGATGCCTTGTGAAAATTTCTCCCCCTTCATATACATTTTGAATTTTCTAATGATAGGGACACCCTATACTGGGAATGTTCGAACACCAAGGAAGACCAGAGTCTTTGTGGACTCTCAGCTGTGAAAAAGCTGTGATATTTTTGTAAGGCAGACAAGGCAAAATGCACTATCCATAATTAAAAAGAAAGGTCTAGTTTTGATTTTGTTGACTGACATCCTCAGCAGTCAAATGATAAGTGGGATACTGTGGACTTAGACATCCTTAGTGAAAATTTTCAAAAAGGATGCATATTAGTCAAGACTGTTAGACAAAGAAGAATGTACAAACATCTAAGAGTGTATCTAGGAATGTGGCCACCAGTTATACATCAGTGTAAATTGCCCTGAATCCAAAGAGTCATGTAATACAGCCTAATGTTTCAGCCCTACCCAAGGCACACTTGTGTCTTCACAAACTACTGACCTGGCATCAGCTTGTCAGCTCAGATTCCAAGAGGGCTATCTGGTAACTTCATGGATTGAATAAAAGCAGGGAGAGAGTCCAGAAGTTTACCCACTGCTCCATCTAGTGCTTGTTTTCAGTATCCTATAGGATCGTGAAATACCTTTTTCTTTTGAAGGCCGATATGGATATGCCTAGGAGCAGCTTAGTTGCTGGAGAACGCTTGTAGCCCACTGGCTTCCTAGCTCATGAGGGCTAGCCATCAGAAAGCTTTCCTTTTTTTCTCTTTATTTTTTTCCTTTTTGTCTGTCAGCCACCAAGTGCTCACAAAGAATGTTTGAACTGCCATTGCAAAGCGGTGATCTTCCAGGAACTCGTAAGGAAAAAGGCATATGGTAAAGCATGAGACTTACCAATTGCTAGAGCTGGTGATAAAAACACAGTATTTGTGACAAGCAGAGTGGTACAGGTTAATGAGTTTCATATTTAACATGACCGTTTGTTAACTAAAGTAGCTAGTTTCTACCAGGTAAGTATTAAATCGTGTGATAATTATAAGTATTTTGGTAGTACAGTCAAAGGTACATTTTATTGAGGATAGAGGAAGGAATAGTACACTGGTCAGAATTGTGATGAAAACATTATTTCAGACAGGTTGTGCCTACTCTAGTAATTGAAAGCGTCAAGGAAGATTTCTGAGAATAAACAAACTTGTCATGAGTTCAAATGTCAGAACAGCCTCTGGCAGTTGTTACATTGGCCAGCTAGCACTGTCCCAACCGCTCCCAGGCACAATTCAGAGGATATTCTGGATCAAGGACCATTTAATAGGATATATGTTGGCATTCCATGCCACTTGACCCCAGGCATGTTTAATTTCCCACTGTAGAGGAAGTCACAATGTTTTACTGAGGATCGTGATCCCTTGCAGTCCCAGGCTGAGAGCTTTGGCTCAGTAATTCCAACTCTAATAGCTTATGTTTTTAGCTCTAGGCATCCAGGGAGTGTAACAGGAAACATAAGGGCTCTCACAACTAAGTGAGAGTACCACTTCAGAAGGAAGTTTTTAGTGCCAGCAGGACTTTCTGCAGCAGGATCTTACTCTTTTGATTTTTAAGTGTGACTCTACTCTAAGCAGCTCTCAGAGATGCCATCACCAATAACCATTACCTTCCATATCACTACCTGGCTTTAATATCTTCCAGAATCTAGACAGAATGAAAATAATGGAAGCAGTCATACCAGCATACTGTAGTAGCCAGTCACTACATATTGCCACAGCACACTAAATGCTCTCATGTGGAGGAGAGAGGATTTTCCCAGTACTGTCTTTGCAAATATTTTTCTGAATTTGTTTATGTTTACCTTATTCATTTTCTTTCCCCACTTTCCTCCAAAGCAAAACAATGTTTATGCTAAAACTGCCAGGGAGGAAGAACAGATCTAGCACCTGCCAGAGATTTTCAAATATTAAAAATAAAAGATGGCCTGTTAAACACAAAACACAGAAACAACAAGAGAAAACTGAATTTAATGGAAGTGATGATAGTGGGCAAGTTTATTCTGCTATGTATATATCAGTCAGGTCTCTATTTCAGAACAAATCACTCCACAGAATTAAATCCCAGGCAGAAGGGTTAATGGGGTAGCTGTGAGTCAGGGCACCCAGGGGTCACACACTCGGGTAGGACATTCTAGCTTGTCTCTGTCCTTACCCTCTCTAAGATAGTGTCAATCAGCTGGAAACACATCTCCAGAGCTGGCTGCTTCATGGTAAGGAGAGACTGTGACCAGAGCTTATGTCTGGTATCTTTGCAGGAGAGCTCCGTTAATATCCCTGACAGGATCTCTTTATCCTGTGCCTTCCTAATCTGCAAGTCAACAGGAAAAGAGAGGGAATTCAGTGAGCTAAACTGAGTACCTGCTGTGTGTGATTGATACTGGCTTCACTTTGTGAAGTTACCTCTTTGTTTTATCAAAACTTCGTGTTTTCTTTTGCTTTGCTTTGTTTTTCAAAAGGAGCGGGGAAACAATTTTGTTACTGCCATTCTGGGAGGGACTTTTCTATCCTAAAGCATCCTGGTATCCCGCCCCCCCTCCTCATTAATCCTGCCCTTTCCCTATGCCCACTGCTCCCAGACCTTCCCTGCACATTTAGATGTAGGAGTCTTACACCAATTGGGATATTTTCAGTAGTTGCTTCTGCAGTCACTGAAGTCTCTTTTCAGTGCTTGCTGACTCTATGCTGGGAAAACATGGTTTCTCTTGACATGCTGCCTGAAATAAGAACTTCTGGCTCCTCAAAGGAAACCAGCACTTCTGACAGAAGTTGAAAAGAGGACAAGTTGTTTTGAATTGTAAAGGTAACATTGAAAAACAAAGGGAGGTTGAAGGCTCCTGGTTCTTTTTTTTTTTTTTTTTCATTTACAGTCCTTCTGTACCCATGGAACTACAGTCTGTAATTAAATGTAAAGTTCTGTATATATAGAAAGTAGTGACATTATTTACTGACCCTTTCTGGCATTAAGCTTCTTGAACTCATGCCAAAGCATTGTATTGTGCAGCACAATTGTGCTCCCACCATTCAGTATTTTGGCTTGGTCTGAAGTGCACTGACAGAGACAGGCAGTTAATGCAAAGCTCTAAGGAACAAATTTAGTTTCATCATTCTGGATAATATTCTGGATAAAGTGAGAACAGAGTAATTTAGGAAACAGTGTGGCTTCACAAGAGAGAGCTCCCGAGAGCTGCTGCAGCACACTGTCTCAGCACTACAGGCCGTTTATAAAACAGAGACTTATGCAACATAAAACCATTTGGATGTTGAGTTCAAATGCCTCAAAATTGGAGACATCTCAGTTCCTGCCAGCTACTCCTATCTATCGAATATTAGGGGCTTATTTGAGACTGTAGTCTAGGTGTGTATTTTGTGTCTCCCCAAGGATGTAGGGCATAATGGTCAACTGTGTCTTGCTTTTTGTGAGAAAAACATTTGTCCCAGCTGTTCAGACATTGTTTTGAAATAGGAGGATTTTGGTGGTCCAGCAGCAAGGGCTGGTATTTTAAATGGAACATTCTTGTTCAGTGTATAAAGAACTGCAGTGCAGCAAGGACAGGAAAAAGCCTAGTGACTCCTCTGCATGCTGGAGAGAAGGCAAACTGGGTCATAAGGAACAGCATCAGAGGAATAGAGGAACAAAATTAGGAAGGGAAAAGAAAGAGACTAAATCAGTATGAGGGAAGAAGAAACACAGACTCATGAAGGGAGGAACTCTGACCATGCTCCACAGGGACCTCCGGCAGCACTCGCACCTGCCCGGGAATGAGCTCTATGGACAAACACGAGTGTCAGCCTCAGGCAAAGGAGCCTGGCCCTGCCAGCTCCCACTAGCACAGGATCCTGGCTTCTGCCTTTCCTTCAGGCAGATGCAACCCCACAAAAAATCAAAACCGGTCCCTGATTCACTGATTATTTTGAGTATTTCTTTCCCTTCCTTTGAACTCTTCATTTCAGCATCACACAGAACATTTCCCTTCCATAGAGGTGACTCTTGTAGGAAAAATCTCTGAGGAGGATGGCTGGCATTGCTTCCTGTGGCAGAGCTGCCTCTGGAGTAAGAGAAAAAGCAAACTGATAGTACATACATAATTTTACTTCCCTTGAACTTGTCATTCTGTATTCTTGGAACTCTATTTTTTTCTCCCGTTTTTCTTCCTGGTGACAGCGTGAACGAAGTTATTCACATCTTTCTTCTAGCTGTGTATCTTAGGAAACTGACTTAAAAGGGACGGCGGCATAAATACAGCACGCACAGAATATTCTCCCTTCCTGTTCAGAAGCTCAGGGGGAAAAAAAATAATAAAAAAAAGGCAGGAATAAACACCTGACCTCTCCAGTGGCAGCGCTGGGGCCGGGAGCGGCGCCGGGACAGAGTTTCGCGGGGCAGGGTGACCCCTGCCGGGGGCGCTTTGTGTTGGAATTCCAGGGAAAATCCCAGGGCAGGAGCAGCAAGCTGCACTCAAGCCTGAGTGCTCCGAGGAGCTTGACTACGCATTACAGCATCGTGCACCGACCATTTCTTCACCATGCAAGCAGGAGGCTCCAAAAGGCCTCCCCACACACATTACGGGAGGTAAGGGCTCGCTGCCCCTCACAGGGGTCCGTGGTTTCGAGCAGGGACTGCGGGCTTGTCCCCAAGCAGGGGAAGGAATCCTGTGGCTGCAGCAGTGATGCTGATGCGCTCAAACGTCTGTAGCCCTGACTCTGTTCACCTGCTTGCTCTGCCAGTTCGAGTTCAGTCTCAGAAAGTTGGCTGCCCTCTGGTAAAGATCAAGGGATTAAATTCAGGCAAATTACTCCTATGGAAACAGGTCCATGATGATTATGTCTGAGGAGGGCAAGCCCTGGCTGGGTTGACCTCCAGAGATGCTTCTCCTGAAGTCACCCTTGCCTAGACTTGTGTGTCTCTCTCCATGCATGGCTAGCAGGGAGAAATTGGCACTGACAGGGAGACCAATGCTCTCCTCCACAGTTGCTCTGGTGTGTGGGCTTCCATTGCTTTGCTGGTGCCATTTCAACCTGTCAAGGGACAGGGAGTAGTGCAAATGTGACTGTGACACAAGTCCACGGAGCTTAGTCATTGGAGCTGTTGAACTGTGCCCCAAGGGTTTTGGTAAGAGATCCAGCAGCCAAAAAGGAGGAAATCTAATACTTGAAGGCATTTTAAAAGCAGACACCTGGCACCTATTTGCTGTCCTGCTTTTTTTTTGTGCTGTTAGCCATGGCGAGGAGCCCTGCAGTTGTCAGCTACATCTCAGTGTAAGTTTATACACAGGAATATTCACAAGGTACTGTTCCTTTGAACTAAGTCAAAACAGCAAACTTTCTTTGCTCAGAAATGTAAGTTAGTTCTCCCTGCTTAGCTATTCTTTTAAGCATCAAGAGAGAAGTCCAACATCCACTGAAAGTAATGGAAAGACATGGATGTTTTCAGTGGGAGTTAGATCAGTGTTCAGTTAAATACACAATTCAATAAGGCAGGCTTTAACTGCTTCTCTTATTAATAACACAGAAATTAGTTTACTCAACAGAGACATTTGGTCTTTATTTTAAAATTATTTCTAAATCCAGAAAATATTTAAACTGTGTGCCCAGCCAAGAGTTTGTATCTTCTAACGCAGGAAGAGGCTCAGAAGCTTATTGTGTGAAAAAGCATGAAATTGTGGGTTTCAGCAGATCCTCCTAATAAAGGCAATAATTAAAGTTGTTGTGAAGATTGTAAAAGGAGAAATCCATGTGGGGTTTTTTTCTGAAGTTGCCTTCCACACAGTGTTCAGCCTCTTCAAAAAGCATCCTACAAAGATTCAGAATGTTACTCCCCCTGGTCTAATGGGGTCAGGCAGACAACACAACAACCCCTTCATAAAGCATGTACCAGGCTACCTACCTTTAACCCTGCCCCAAGAGATGCACGTGGAAAACTTACCTGCTTTGGGTTTAAGTCCTTGGATGTGCACAGGATGAAGAATTGGGTGTTTCACTTCTGAAACAGATTTGTGCCCTCCCCAAGTAACGCTGACAAGCTAGACAACATCACTTCTCAGCCCACCAGCTGATCTACACCATGCCCCAGCTCCACCTCACGTCTTTGATTCTTGGAAGTTTATCTGAGGTAGCCTGCTATTAGTCCTACACCTCTCATTGTTTTTTTCCAAGGTATCTTTGCTGAATAGTTGATTTGAGAGATTAACAATCACGTGTGACACACAGATGAGCCAGACAGAACCACGAGTGGTCCTGCTACCAAAATGCACTTCTACTGATGCTGTGCTTTTCTCTCTGTATCATCAGGAGTTTATGGGCTTTGTGCTGCAGGGAGTTAAAATTCTTGCCCAGGAAATAATGGAAAAAACGGCATTGGCTGCAAACAGACAGTCATTTGCTTTTCTGAAACCATGACAAGGCACTATTAGCACTTGAGTAACTTCATTGCCAGCACAGGCAGATTACTCTAACTCAGTGCAACAGTCTGAATGGATGTGTTTATATGCATACAACAGTTTTTATTCCATACCTGGCTAGATAACCTTAGCTAAATGTACCTAAGAAACAAAATTCAAGGAACAACTTGGGTTAACTGTGTAGAGAGAATGTATCCTCAGGTCTCTTACTTTTCCTATTTGTCAGGTTGTTGGAAAGGTTTGAACCAGCTGAGTAAAGTTCCTCTATTTTCGAAGGATTGTTTTCTCATTTTCCTGTTTCTCCATTGTTCTTTCCAGGCAACACAGGGTGATTTTCAGGTTTTCTTCTCTATTGCTAATACATTTTTTTTGCAAAACATGCCAACTGGACCAGGCCTGGAGGTGGGCTGAAAGAGTAGGCTCTATGTAATGGGCTGCCTTTCTCATGTTCTCAGGTAGGAACCCAGCTGCTTAGGAAACGAGATGATCTCTTGCTCCTCCCCTTAGTGATTTAGTACAAGTCTGTCAAGAGAGGCGAAAGCAGGAAAGCTTTTTTTATTCCTAAGAGTGATAGGAGAACTGTCACAAAGCTGTAAAAATCGGGGCTATCTTTTAATCTGTTCTGCAGTGCTTGGCCTGTGATTTGAGAGAAGAGTGGTCCTGTGCTGCAGCTGGATTTCCTTGGCTGGGAAAGTGGAAAGGAAGAATGTGTCACCTGTAGCTGAAGGTAAGAAAGTAAAAAGCCAGGCCAGGAGCAGAGGTGAGCATGGTGTGAGATTGGTGAGGAAGGGAGGTGGGCAAAGCCAGTGGCCCAAATGGAAGTGGGCATGGACCAGGAGGTGATGGCAGGGCTGATAGCAGGGAGACTGCAAATGGTGTAATTGCTGTACTTGTTTTTTGGAAGAGCTGGCTGTAGTAAATGTTTTATGCCCATTCAAGGTAGGGCATAGAGGAGTCCAAAGTCAAGAGACTGACCAGACATACAACTCTGGAATAGAAAGAGTAATCTCCTTGCAACTCATCTGTTCTCTGTACATTTCAGCCTATTAGTTGTTTTCTGCATTATAATTTTGGTACCTGTTCTGTTTTTCCCTCATATGCTCAATGCTTGTCAAATAGATGTTCTTGGGGCCTGTTGTCACCTTACTGTCTGAAGGTCTCACCTCTCTGCCAGTCTCTCTGCACAGTAAGTTAAAATTCTTAGGGTCCCACCATGTTTTTCTACTGCTCCAGATCCCTGCTGGTCACAGCTTTTTCCCTGCGTGCTCCTGCTTTTGTGTCTTCTTGTGTGTATACAATGTGATTCCAACCTCCTGATCCCTGGGAATCTTTTTATGGAGCCATTAAAGAAGTTGGATAAATTTAATAATATAGTAATAGTATAAGTTAAATTTGATAGACTTATGATAATGTGTGTGTGCTTGAATTTAGTAACTGGCTCATTACTAATTTGCCTCTTCCTGGTTCTTCTCACCTGTTTCTTCTAATTAGTGTGTTGTTACACACAGATTAGATACCCTTTCCCAGGTGAGACAGGTAGCAGCAAGACTCAGCTGCTCCTCATGATAAATCATTTACTTATGCCCTCAAAAAAAGACATTTGCAGGGAACTGAGGAGCTCTCATGTTTGCAAGACAGACCCAGACTGATTCATTGATGCAGCTGTAAGTTACCAAGACTTAGTGACAGTGTCCCCCTCAGTATAATTGTTTGTTCTGTCTACTGCAGTTATTTCCTTCAGCAGCAGCCCTGGCTCAGCATCTAACGGTGAGGGCTGAGGGTGTCTGTACCTCCCTGGCTTTCAAAACATGGGCAGTCCTTTTCAGTCTGTTTCCTTGTGGTTTGGTGAGCAGTTTCTGGGGGGGAAATAATGATAATAATGTGTTGTGGCATTTTGTTCAGTTCCTCTTCCCTAACCTAGAACAAAACACCAAAATGCACAATGCTCTGTAATGAGGGATGAAAGCAGGTATTTGTCAAACACATACAGCAGTTCTTTCTGTCTTTCTACCCCAAATGTGATCAGAAGATTACTCCAGTTATTACTGAATTTAGTCAATTTGTTCTGGTGTCCATGGACTGTGAATCTTTTGCTATAGGATCAAAAAAACACTGCTCCAGAAGTTTCCTCTCTTGTGAATATTTTTAGAGTAATCTTCCAGGCTTTCAGCAAAAAACCCTGGACTTGCAACATCTCTGAGATGAATACAAGACCTGCTGTACTGCAGTTAATCGTATTTTGGTAGTAGGTTATACATTAACCGTCTGCATTAGCTTGATTTATAAAAAAGTAGATGGTTTTGGGTGATAAAGCAAACACAGGAAACATACACAGCAGAATTAGATGACCTGTTTCTTTGCTTCAGCAGAAGGCTTCATGTCCTTCACTGTAAAATCACCCACTTGCTCATTTCCAAATTTTTTTCCAGCCTAGCTGGGGGTTTCTTCAGTGTCTTTGCCAGGGCATCTCTCTGTGGAGACATTAAAAGCCTTCAGCAGGCTATATTTTCTTGTTGGGGTTACACTTTTCTGCTTGCCTTCTGCCTTTTTTTTTTCATGCATGGAGGTGATGGACTCCAATACCAGCGAAAGCCTAGAAGTAATGATGTGCTAATAACCTCAATGCTCACTCACGAGGGAGTGTTGTCTGCAGTGAGAATTCCCCTTTGCTGGTGAGTGATGTGTCTGTGCAGCTTGCAATGTTGCTGTACATCCAGGAGACGTGGGGATTTGGTAATGAGGTCCTGAGGATTTAGAGATGTTACTTTATCACTGCTGAAGAGATTTAAGAATGGTTTTATTAAAGCTTAGTAATCATAACACTGGTCTCTGCTGCATACAAATGAGCAGCCCAATCCTACAGCCCTGCTGCTGAGGGCAGCACTTAGTCCTGAAAGATATGGTGATTATGTGATTAGCCAGGAGGCTGAATTCTGCCATTTTCTATGTGAGGTTTAGCAGTGTTAAACCCACACCGAGGACATAGGGTTGAGGTAATCACTATCCTGTTACAAGTTTCCTGAGTTATCTGCTCCTCAGCCTTTTATTGCCATAAATAACTCTAGAAGTCAGGCCTCACTGCCAGAAGTGTTCAGCGCTGCAAATAGTAGCAAAGATGACTCATGAAGTGAGATGAAGGTGGAGCATGAATCAGTAGGAAGAAAACTGATATACAAAGGAGGCATTCTGAATGCAGATGACACAAAAAGTCTGAACAAAGCAGAGTTCAATCATCATAAAAATGAATCAAAAGGGGTTTAAAAAAAAAATAGAAACTCTTCTGTTTAATGAGAAAGACCATTCCAGTGAAAGCACAAAGGTGTTGCACACTGACCATGTTATTCCTTACCCAAGACAAACTGTAGACTGCATAGAAAGAGATGGTTGTAAAATTCTTCCCACCATGTCCAAACAAAGCAGAGTATTCAGCAAGCAGGTTGCTTTCCAGATTGTTCTGTGTCTATACAAGCTAAGAAAAGAACTTGTCTTTGAGCTAAACAGTTTTGGAGATCAAGAGTCCTCGTAGCTTCAATGAACCCACACTGAAAGCTAACAGCAAAAGAAGCACTAAAATAACCTGAGCACATTCCTTGTAAATGATAACTCATGATAAGGAGATAAAATTCCCACAGACCGTTCCATTTGAAATGACAGCTTTTGGTGCTTTTCTTACCCTCCAAAAGCTTGCACATGTAGGAGTGCCTTTAAAAGTAGACTTGGAAAAAAGGTACCTGATAAATGACATCCTACAGCTGTTAGTGCACTAAAGCATCCTGTTCTGCCTGTAATTCAACCCCTGCCACTTCTGGGAGAAGGGGTGTCTGTTAAGAGTTTGATGTTACTCCTCAGAGGTGAGAATTAAACATTTTCACGTTTGACATCACAATGATACTTTAGGCATTAGAAAAGGGTTCCTTGTTGAGGGGTGGGCAGGCATTGGACCAGGCACTCCAGGGAAGTGGTCATGGAACTAGGCCGGTCAGGGTTCAAGAAGTATCTGAATGCACTTAGTCATGTGGTCCAGTTTTTGGTAGTCCTACAAAAAGCAGGAAGTTTGACTCAATTATTTTTATGGATCTCTTCCAACTTGAGGTATCCCATGATAAACAATCTCTTTGAAGCAATAAAGGGTTAAAGAGGTTTCCCCTGCCCCCAACCTCCAGCAGGTGCTAAAATGTAATAATGGAAAGAAGATTAGATATCTGTGTCTTAGTTGAAAGCTCTGTCTCTACCACTGTGAAAATTGTAGAGGTTGATTTATCCTCCATACATGGTGTGTATGCTCGGCTTTGTTATGCTAGATCCATGAAATGTTGCACTCAAAGGTGCTGCTCCTTTAGAGCAGTAATGCTTAGAAAAAAGTGTAACAAGGCATCCTAACCTGTACTGCTTTGAGTTGCTGTGTTCAGGATAAAGTAAGGGATGGTGAGAAGACCAAAGCTTCTAATGTGGCTGTTTTACAGTGTGGGCTGTAGCAGGAAATCTGGAAAAGATGGGTAATGCTGCCAAGGCTTAAGGAATGCAGATACTTACATGAAGCAGAACTATGCACTGTGGGATTCACATTCTCTGAACCTGAGAGAAGCAGAGAAGAGAATGATCAAAACAATTCTCATCTCATTTGCTGCGCCTTGTGTTTGTGCACAAGTGGATTGCATTATGGAAAACTGTTTACCTGAAGGGATTTGGTAATTGGATTCTGGTGTGAGTGTTTTGTTTTCTTGACCAATCTTTGCAAGCTGTGTCCTGATGGTCAGTCACGAGATTTTGTTGAGTGTTTGTGCAGTTTCAGTTTAGATGTAGTGTAATATAGTGTAGTATAATAAGGTAAACATTAATTAGCCTTCTGATATCATGGAATCAGCTGCATCATTCTTCCCAGATGTTGGGGTTGCCTTGCTTTTCCAATAATGCACAGGAAGGGAAAGCTCTAGCAAGGTTCTCTGCCCAATATTACTGTAAAAATAATCTCAAACCTGGTTGTACTCATCTTTTATAATGTTGTGAGGGTTGTGGATTCATTTCTTCATTGAAGGTAGTGCTAGGACTGAAATTTGGCATAAATTTATGGTTATTCCTGGTCAGTTCCAAAGTTTCAGATGTGAATTTACCTGTGTGTTAATGAGCAAAATTCAGAGCTGCATGTTGTAGTTTGCAATATGTCCAGGTACTACACCTTTCCTACTGCGTCTGTGTTTGATGCATTTAATCTGTCTATTCAGAGGAAATCTGCTGGATTTGGGCTTTAATAGAGTAAGTTGTTCTCAAGGAAGGTAGCACAGGCTGAGTTTTCTATTGCTACTAAGGGAGGGCTAATAGTTAACAGCTAGTGACAGATTTATGTTTTCACTTGTAGGCTACCCGGCAGTGGGCCCAGCTCAAACATAAAGTATCGCTTGGAAAATTTGGCTTTGTTAGTGAAAAATATGAAGTTCATTTTAAAAGCTGTACTCATTTTAAGACTAAAAAAGTGCTTTCTTCCTGTTGGGAGAAGAGAAATTCTCTAAGGAGAAATAGCAAAGACTGAGTTTCTGTCAATAAAAGAGTCTGTGTAATTTAATACCAGGCAGCTTTTAATACAATAGGAGAAAAAGAGCAGACACTTGCCTCTGTTATGAAGGGGAAAAATATAAAAACCTGCCTGCAGTATGTTACCTAAATTTAGCCACAGAGGGACCAATCCTCTTGGATACTCAAAAATCTGTGTGAAGTAAGTAAAGGCTATAGATAAGCTGTGCTTGGAGACCCTCTATCCCCATTTTCCAAAGTGCTGGTAAGAGGAGATGCATTAGGCAGCAGCAGTGGCCAGACTGTAATGCAGCCCTTGCTTGTTTAGTCCTTCCCATTGCAGAATCACAGAATATTAAAGTTTCTGTTTGATTTTTCTTTTCAACAATATAAGTGGCTGAAGTTAGAGATGTGTGAATGGCTTCCCTCAAATGATAAAGTTACTCAGAATCATCCCAGGTTTAAGCTTGAATTGTTCCGGCGTCCAAACAGTGGTGGGATCATGCTTTGAACAATGCATATCCATACAGGTCTTAAACTGCTTACAGGTGTCCTGCAGACCTTCTCTTTCCTGACATCTGTACTCAAAAGCCTATCTAGGAGAGGCATCTGATCCTCAACACAATGCTTGACAACAAAATAAAAAACTTGAGTTCAGAAGCCAAAATAAACGACAGGTTGTCATTCAGAATGCAAAGAAAATGGGCACTAGCTTCTTTGTCAAATATCAGTTCTATATTTTTTTAAAAATCAATTTTGTAATGGTTTCTTATGTTGAAATCAAAAAAGAATTGTCGATTTCTCAGAAGTGTTGCTATTAGACATTTCTGATGTCTTAATTTAAGTGTCATTTTAAGTCCTGATAGCAGCATTTCTAGTTTCATGGGCCTGAAAAGCAAGCTTGTATCCCTTACTGGCATGCACTTCCAGTGAGTTTTTCAAAGAGCAAGTTATTAGTACTGTTATTTCCTTTGTCCACATTTGAAACAAGCCCAGAAACTGTAAACAACTGGAACTATTGCCAACTTCTGTTGTATTAACGATCCTACAATGCAGTTCTCTGTTAAACAACTTGCTTCTAAAAGTCTTAGAGGAGGAATGTGTAATGATGCTTTATGCAGCAAAAGCTGCATCTCAGGGTGCTCACAGCAGAGTCAGAGCTGCAGCAGGAGTCCTGTTTCATGTGACACTCACCTTGTTCTCATACACTTCTACAGTTCTGGCAGTGGTACTTTGACTCTTGATTATTCCCTGCATTCTCAGCTCCTCAAGAATGATGGTTTTTGCCTCTCTGTTTCCTCTAAGGGTGATGCTTTACTGATGAACTCATTGGTGAGCAGTGTGTCTTCAAAAGATGTAGACATTAAAACTAAATACTTGTATAGCACTTGGCATTCAAGGAAAGCTTCAATATGTTTTTCCAATGCCAGAGTTTTTGTCTAAGATGTTGCATAGAGTGAGACTGTCCAGTGAAGAAGGCCAGCTGGTGCCTCTCCTCACTGCGTAAAGTTTGCAGTAAACATTTTAGTGGCTTGAAGAATGGTGCAGGTGCCTAGTCCCGTTACACCCAGAGGGGTACATTCTGGAAAGCATGGCAGCTTATGCTGAAGACCTGTGAAGCCAATTTTTGAGCCTGTTCCCAAAGAGGGTCCATAGGAGCTCTTGGTAGTTTTGATTCTTAAGGATTCTGTGATCTGGTTGAAGAAAGCCAGGCTAGGGTGGTGTAGTACAGGCCTTTTAATAAGCCATGTTGTAAAGATCACTATGTTTGTCTGTTAAATAAACCCAAACTTTCATGGATTTTTGTGGTGTGTGATTTTTGTTGCAACAGCATTGCTACATTTGAGTCTGATCATAAGCATTTCAACAATTATATATTTATAGACAGCATTAGGACTAAAAAACAAGTTATTTGATAGCTCTTCTGAGCGTCTGTTTAGCTTCCACATATTAGACATGAATAAACAATGAGCAACTTTAAGGCCAAGACCCATCGTGTTTTGAAGCCCTCAGCTGACAGTTCTGCCATCTGCCCAGTCTCTGTTGGCAGAAGTGAGAGCTCTTGTATGACAAATGCCTGGACCAAATCAAAATTGCAGATATTTGATGTCTGCCAGTCTTCATAAGCAGAGTGAGTATGACAACGTTGTCTTATTTTTCAGTTGTAAAACAAAAATACAGAACATCTACCACTCTGTAGCTGACTCTGTACTGCTCCTAAAATAACCGAACCAGTTACCCGAAAAGCACTGGGGTTCAGCTGTCAGTCAGAGCATGCAAATGTCAGAAGCCAGTATACAGCAAAATGCATTCTGGCAAAAAATAAAAGCAGGATGAGTGGGCAATGCTGACAAGTGATGTGAATTTGTATTGGTTTTACCAGTCCATTCAGGAGAAAAATCTGGTTGAAGTATCTTGGTATGGTATGTCTTTTTTTGGTGTTGAAAAAGAAGATTGAAGCATGATCTCGAAACTTTCTGTTTAGAAATTTCCTGTGAAATTATCCTTTAGAAAGTGGGAGGAAAGGGAGGTTAAAATTAAATGAAACCATTTCAGAACAAGCAAATAATTTTGTTCAATATGAAATAAAATCCTTTCATCACATCCTTCTGTGGTATTGGGAGTTAAGTCTTTTTAATGATTAGCAAACACCACTAATTACTCTTTTTGTGTTCTATTTGAAATACTTTGTTACAACTTTTATGTATTATAAAGAATAACCAACCACTGTAGATGCTCCATTTAGCATGTTTGTGAAACATAAGGTGTTCACAGCACTTGAAAAATACAAGAGTTAAACTTTTGAAATAAGGGGGCTCAAATAAACCAAAAAATGGTGCTGCTTTTCCATTAGCGACTCTTACTGCAATGGTATCCTAAGATTATAGAAAAGTTTGGGTTTAAGTGCTCACTTGCATTTGAAAGAAAAAATTCTTTGCACACATTTGCTTGTTGCCATGATGATTTCTGGAGTTTTTATGGTTTTAATTTTTTTAATATTATAACCAGCCTTGCAACCTCTGGTTGCAAATGTGAAGAAATAACAGGGTATTTACTTTCTGTCTCTACCTGCTGCTTGTCAGGGCATTGTATTGGCTGCAGTAAAAATGGGCTCATTGTAACACCAGACTGAGAGCCCTCCCGGGGCAACCTCCCTTCCCAATGTACTGTAATCCCAGTTGGAGAGGGCTACTCCTGGGGACAAGGCTGGGTTTGTTCTCCTGGTCTGTTTCAGGCATCTGTCAAGAAAAGTGCAGACCCTGCTTCTTCTTCTGGTAGTGAGGGTTGAGTCATGCTGAAGAACATAATCATCAGCTACTCTGTGTTACTATGGCATGGTTTTAAACCAGTGCTAAGAGCTCAGTCTGCATGGTGTCACAGCATGAACAATTCCTAGTGTGGAAGTTGGCTGTAGCAATAGACCTTCAAGATTATTTCCTCCTAGATCTGTGTTTGTGAAGCTGTTACGAGCGTCACTTATTGTTAACCTGTGCTTGGGTTATCTGAAAAGAAGTAAATCTTCATGGTGGCTCCTTGGGGTAGATTTCCTCACTTGTCTCATCTTCAAGTTTGGCTCCATCCTTTGAAGTCCCTTTTAGTCAAGCTGCCCCAACCTGTGAGGGTCTCTCTCTGTTCCATCAATGCTGTCATTTCTAGTCTACAGCAAGATCAAGAAACAAATGAGAAAAGCTCCTTGGCCTTCTAAACATGTAAGGAGCTATCTAGACTATTCCTATACAACTGTGAGGTTCAGAGTACAGTGGAAGACAGAGGCATTCCTGATCTTATCCATGTTCTGTCACAGGTGGATGGTGAGTGAAGGTCTCTTGGACCATTTCAAAATTCATTTTTTATTTACCAATTTCAAAACAAAGCATAACTTTAAGCTTAAATGTGGCCACAATCCATTTGACTCTATTGAGAGTATTGTTTCAGTACTTTAAGGGCCTTCTGTGTGCAGAACATTGGTTACAAATTTAATACTGAGTTTTAAATTAGCACTTGGTAAGGTGTTAGCCTGTGCACCTTCTAAGCAATAGCTTTGAACCTCCTAATAATGGAGGATTAGAGCCTAGATGTTATTTGTCTCTTCTCTGGAGGTTTGGGCTTAAGCCAAATCAACTTTCTAAGCTTCACAAAGTGGCTTCACATATATACATATATATATATAATATTTATACATAATATTTATATATACATATATATACACATAATATTTGCATCTATATAAGCTCCCTGCCTCAAAATAACTTTTTGAGGCAAAATCCACCTTGCTGCAGTGTTGTAATTCATCACTGGTGTTAGAGATAAGTGTCTATAATTGTATCTTTAATGAGGCAAGTGGGACAGACTGTGAGAATCAACTTTTCAGGTGCTTTGAAATCAGATCATGCATGTGGCCAAATGGTGAATCTGCTTTCCCTGTAGCAGAAGGATTGCACTGAGCTGAGTGACTGACAGCCTTTCTCCTTAAGAGCTCCCTGACAGAGCCAGAGCTACCCCTAACATCAGCAAAACCATGTTTGTGTGCCCATGTCCTCCTGGTACACTCGTGTGCTAAAGCATCTCCTAATGTATTTCAGACAGAGTCCATGGGGAAGAGGGCACCACCTGGCTTTTGACTCCCTGGATGTTCTGTAGGCCCTCAGAAGGCAGCTCTGCCACTGCAGCCTGGATAGAAATGTTGTAGCCCAGAGTGAAGGTTGTGACCATCTGCTCCTTGCTGCAAGTCCAGGGATTAGGAATGCCAAATTCTTCCTTGAGAGCCTGGTTATTTGTTATCACCATGGAGTCTAACTGTTGCCAGGGCCTGTTTCTACAATAAATAACTCCACAGAAAGCTTTCTGCTTATGTCCTGGCATACAGACATCACTGTCCTTGTCCAGATCCTCCTCTCAGAAGATGAGAGGGAGTATGTTTCGTCTGTTGAGCTGGGATGCTGGTCTTGGAGTCCCAAGTCTCTATAGGGCATTCAGGGTGTTAGTGAGCCTCCAGTGGGAACTCAAGCAGTTTGATGAACAAGATACTGTCATGTAAAACACACATATTTCAATGTCTGGTTGAATTTGTTAAGTATACTTCAACACCATTAGCCATGGAAAAAGATCAGTTCTAAATCTGGGATTTCAGGCAGCAAGGCAAGCTTCTAAATGAGAGAAAATGACATCGGGAGACAGGGACAGGCTAGGGAAAATGTTTTAAGCATCCTTTGAGATCATTGTACAATTTCTTGATTACTGTTTGAGTCTATTCACATCCTTAGAAGTAGATGTCTGTAGGAGATTTTAAAAAAGAAAAAAGCAGCCATAGTTTATGCTTCCAAGAGGTTGTTATAAAAGATAGCCGAGAAATGTTAAGTCAGTGCTGTCACTTGAAGATCATGTCTTGGGTCACTTGTGCTAGCATCATCAGCTAGTTGTAGTTAGGAGAAAGAGCATATTTTTCCCCCAAATATTTACATGAAAGACTCTTTGTATGAACTAAGGATTCAAAACCTTTTGAAGGGGAGCAAAAGCTCAAGTAATTGTTAATAACAATGAGGATTTTTTTTTTTTTTTAACTTCCTGGGACCCTGGTAACAAATTAATGTCACTTTATGACCTTACTCTGACTTGTGGCAACATTTCTTTAAAATTTGTCATATTTTCTGTGTATTTATGAGAAACTGAGATGTTTACATGACTAATGTCTCTTTTAAATAGTAAGGCCAGTGGACTTTCAGAATTGAGTGAACCCCACTGCTGAGACAGTGTGACTCCAGCCTAAGAGATCACTCTGGCCGGCTGGCTGCAGGCAGCCTTCTGCATTCCTCTTGTCTCCAGTCCAAGCTCTCAGCTGCTCTGCTTGGAAAGCTGAATAAACTCATTTGCATGGCAGGGAGCCTGAAGTGATCTTCCCTGCCCCAGAGCGCCCTGCCTGACTGTGCAAAGCGCTGCCTTGAGGTTCCTGCAGGGCTCCCAGGTTCTCTCTAGGCAGTGTCTGTGCCGAGCCCGGAGCACGCGTGTGGCTGTACCTACCTGTGCCAGCCTCCTGGTGCTGCAAGGCACTCGAATGTGCACCTGCTGTCCCTCGAGAAACAACTGTCTTCCAAGACATCTTGTTCCTTTCTCATCCCTGATCAACAGGGACTTGACTCTTGTGTTCAGTCTGAATGCACACAGAATGCAAGTCAAGTAACCTTTTGGTGTGTGGGTATTTTGTTGTTGCTGCTGTTCTTTCTTCTTTCTTTAGCAGATGTTTGGAGATTGCATGCGGTAGTGTCGAAATGTGATTGATGCTTGATGAAGGGCAGAACAGGATGTACAGGCTGAGCTTCTTGTTTGCATTTCTGATTAAATGCTTGCTGTGGTGGTGCAGTTCTAA